AGGGGCGGGACATAGGAAGGTTCAGTTGTACTTCATTTCAGAGAAAAGTGAAGGATAACGAGGAGAGACAACCAGAGATTGGAGATGAGATACAGCCAAGATTAGTAGCTCTGAACCTAAAGCGTCATAATTCTCTGTAATGTATCTGTTATTATTATTCCAGCATGCCAAATACAATCTCGTGTCGTTTAAAATATACAATAATGGCATGCTGGAAATGTTTAAACATACACTTCTTCAAATTGCATATGACACAGACTGCACTTAATGTTGTGTACACACTTTGTAGTTGACATGCATGCTGCCTATGTGTGTATATACAACACGTCTGTCTATAGCTATATCTGTCCTCGCTGGCTCAGCCCAGTTTATCATTTCAGCTGACTGGAAAAATACTTCTACTCCCTCTTTCTTGATTCATTTCTGCCATCTCGCTCTCTCTCTCTGTTTCTCTCTGTGGAAATTGAAGGCTTGCGGCTCGTCATAGATCTGCTAACATCATATTACTGTGGCCAATTCATTTGTACTCCCCTCCGCTCAGCCTCTCATCTCCTCTCTCCACGCTGGGAGTCAAGTTAAGGACTCGTTTTTTTTTTTGTGTCTCAAACATAGGGAATAGATTCTTGAGCTCTCGGGCCAAGAAGCTAAAAATACACTTTTGCCTCGTCTTTTTAGGGTTCCCACATGAATTCCACAGTGATATATTGATGGCGATCCTTGCTACTGAATTAAAAGACTGAAGATTGTAGCCAAAGTTTGAATAGTCCAGATGAGTCCATCCCACAAGAAACCATCACACTGATCATCACCTCAAATATCACTTTTGTTTTGTCACAAAATGTTAAAAAATGAAAAAGCACTAGGTTTTCTGCAAAGCATTTAAAACCCACACGGAAGAGTGTGTGAATGAGCAGCCCTTTCTTCAGGGGATGGATTGTACGACAGAAAACAGAATTTCATTCATAAACAGTGTTGGCTCTTTCCGCTCTAACAGCTCTCACATGACTACGGTTTAACTCTGCGTTTACTGTGTACAACCACACAGCCGAGGGATTTGTTCTGTTAGAGCCTAATGGAAAATCTTTACTGTAATTTCATTATGTCATCTAAGGGAGAAAGCATTACAAGCTTTCTTGAACTATAGTCACAGTTATATGCACTGAAACTCAGCAGCGATCGGCGTTAGATTTCAGTGCTTTTCCTCAGCGATGTCAAAATATCTGTTAAAAGCTGCCGTACACAGAACATTTGTGCTTTTCTAAGCTCCTAACCTCTGTCTCTGCTGCTGATACATTGTAAATCTCTTACCCTGTGGTCCCTAATTGCTGTAGTAATGTAATCAGGTCCATATTAGCCCAGTTTAGTCCTGGTGGTACAGAAGGATTAGGACTGGAGCGGAGTGGATTTGTGCTCAAAGTCCGATATGGGACCTACTATAGAAGCCTTACTAGATTGGATTATCCGTTTTAGATAGACGAGAAGATCCATGTGTCTGTTTACAGAGAGATCATTTTATAATCATGGAGGGGTTTATTATCCGCATTAAAATTATCGTATATTTTTTGAGTCCGCTACCTCTGGTGAGCATGGCTATACCCACCAATGTGGTCACTGGTATTTTTTCCAAGTGGTATACCATAAAAGTTGTGAAATATTTGTCTAAAAATAACTACTTGTTGCTTTGATGTGTACCCCACAAGGTCAGTTTTTGGACCTCGGTATTTCTAAAACCCTGCAAAAAGCAATTCTGGTGAGATACTACTAAACAACTGCGTCTCTGTGTAAACATAGAGATTTAACTAGCTAAGAAAAGAGCTCTAAAAGACTTTCCTCGTTAAACTGGTTAAAAAACGGCAAAAGAATTAGGATTATGTTGTGTTTAGGGTTCGGGTTGTGCTGACATAGGGTACTGGTATCTGGTCCAATTCAGGCGCTGCTCAAGAATCTGTGTCTGTAATGTTGCTATGATCTTCAGAGCTGTCGCAGTCAAACGTCATCTCAGACCTCTTCAAGTCGGTGCTGCCAAGAGCCAATTAGTCAGCACCATCAGCTGGTGGTGCAAGGAGTCTGGCAACACTGGTTCCATTGAGGGATTAAGGCTGAGCTAGATTGGATTTGCTTTACGTCAGAAGGACAGTAACCCTTTAGACAAAGTCAAGTTGTTATCTATGACGATGGTTTTCACTCCCATGTTGAACCTCTTTAAAGGTCCAGTGTGTAGGATTATATAGCAGCTAGCGTTGTGGTTGCAGATTACAACTCTCGTTTCACCCTCCCTTTCCAAACGTGAGGGAGAAACTACAGTATCTAGAGCCAGTGTTTAGTTTGTCCCTTCTGGGCTACTGTAGAAACATGGCAGCCTGCACAGCATCTGTAGACAAAATCACCTCATTATATGGTAACGAAAACATAAAACGATAACATATTCTTATTTTCAGGTGATTATACACTAATAAAAACATCACCTATGCATATTATATTCTATTTCTGCCAATAGAGCCTCCTAAATGTTACACACTGGATCTTTAACTTGCATTTATGCCATTTTCTCCCATGCTGATCAGTAGGGTTGTGGGTTGTTTTCACTGTGTAAACCTGGACACTGTTCAGTCCAGTCACGGATATGTGTTGTCTGGATTTGGACTTTGTTTACAGCAGATGGTGTGGCACTGAGGTGTGTGTTAACTTTTATTTGTCTGTGTATATACGCCTCATTTTAGCACAGATTTAAGGTCATGGACAAATATGGACATGCTTGTCTTCACTCTGTGTGTGTGTGTGTGTGTGTCAGTGTGCGTGCTGACTGTATGTGGGTGTTAATGAGGTCTGATGATCTGTCTAATAAAGGCAGACCCCCTACTGGTCCGAATACCTCTCCGTGCTAATCCATTGTTATGTAATGAGGCGCATACACTCGCTCTCTCTCTTTCTCTCTCATGCACAGACGCACACTTGGTAGCTTCCAAATAAAGCTAATGGTGTGCCTGAGAGTGTTTACACTGCATGCAAAGCAATGCTGCAGAAGAATTAGTATCTAAAATGAAGCCAAGTTAACAGACTGCGGCCAGAATGTCAAAATGTTATGGTAAATGGAAACTGTAGGTAATGTGAAAGTGGTCTGAAGGAAAACAATATTGGTGTTGTGGTTTTGCGTTTTATAAAATAGAGTTCAGATCTACAAAAGGATGTATCTTGCTCTTGTGTATGAGAATATAAAGTGATGAGGGAGCTTCAGCTTGTTAAATGTTATGCTGTGTCTGTATAGTTTTTAGTGTTATGAGATTTATAAGGTTTCCACACCCTCTCTAAACACGTTAAACTGTAAGATGATGTTTTACTCTTTGATTTTTGCATTATATTTGTGTCACAAAGCTATAAAATTGACTTTAAATTACTTTCTAAAGCTCTTTTCAGACATAGAATACATGTCTGGCTTCACTTATGTCATACAGACATAAGTGAGTTACTTAAAGTAAAAAAAACTTTTCCACTTTCACAGTATTTGGCCCTTTCTGAGAGGAACAATCAATAATTCTTAAAATACCTAAATAAATTTCTGCAGTATCGAAACTCAAAGCCTCTTATGTTTGTTTTGTTTATTCTGGTTTATGGTTCAGAAATGCTGTAACCTATTTACCTACACTACGTGCTATAGAGTGCAGTGCTGTAGCCTACAGTGGGCTGTAGTTGGAGTCTACTAGAAATGGTCTGAACAATAGATTAACTAATGGATGTATTGTGAACTGCGTATGCTGAAAACTCATTGACAACACTTGTTGCTGCAGAAATATGATTTTTAATTCTGTATTATTTTCATTATTGCTACCTGGCAAAAACACTGTCAATATAAAGCGCAATAGCAAACTATTTATTACCCCCTCAGCTTTCTGACATTAACTGTCAACAAAGACAGGATTTCAAGCTGTTGTACTGGATTGAATTATACTATACAAGTGTATATAAACCCTATTATGGGGTCAATATAGCACTTTTGCAATAATGGGTCCCAGTAACATTGTAAACCAAATTTGGTAACCTTACCACGTCATCTCTCTTACATAATCTCATTGTTCTTATATATCGCTGTTATTTCTGTAATGTATTTATATATTATATTGCATTGTATTGTTTTGTAGTACTGATGACACTAATTGGTTGTTTGATTAATGAGCATTGTCCCTGGTAAGTAAGTAGTATAAACATCGGGGCTATGTTGACCTCACTCTGGCTACATTTTAAACCCAGTGTTTAAATAAATCGGCAACATGTCCCAAAGCTTGTAACAATGTACCTGATTTAAAGTATAACCTGAGTCAAACTGCATCAATATAAGCGACCCCTGAGCAGGCAATTAGTTGCCGTTTCCAATAATAGTGGTTTACCAGAGGGCATATAAACTACACTTATAATCAGCCAGCATATTAAAACCTTTATGTTTACATGAACAACAAAGAGATCTGAAGCTATTTACTATTCACCAAGGGCTTTCATTTTTTGATGATTAAATCGTTTGGCTGATTGCAAAGTCTGAAACTAGCATTAAGCCTGCTCTGACGGTAAATTTATTTTTTGCATCATTTTATACTTTTTTCTTTTACAAAACCCCCAAAAGTTCCATCATTTAAGGAGAATTTGGTTTTAAAATATGTCCATTGAATCAGAATCAAGCTATACTAGATTTATTTTTCTCCTCCCAGTCCGACTTTGTTGTTGCCAAGTAATTTGTTTGCTTATTTTAATGTTTGAGTGAGATAATAATTTCAATTGCTTACCATCTTTGGTTGAAAAACAGATCACTGCTTTGCACAGGAAGGCCTCTGTGTTTACTGTAAGTCTGTTTTCTCTTTTGTCCTCCTCTTCTTGCTAATATTCGTCTGTTTATCTAACTGACTCTTCTTTCCTTTCATGCTGCTCTTTCCCACAACCCCTCTCTTTGACCCCTTCCCTCCCTCTGCCTTGTATTTATCCGTATCTCCCCTGTTTTCTCACTGTCTCCCTAGGCTCTTTGCTTTCTTTCACTCCCCCTTGCTCTTTATTTTATGTGTCCCTTACTCATCCTCTCATCTATAATCCTCTTCCACTGTCTTCTCTTTTCGAATCTATCTTTCTTTTTGCCGGCTCCCTCTCCTTCCCCCTGTCATCCCTCCATCCTTCTCATAGATGAAGCGGAGGATGTCACCGTGGGGAGCTGGCTTTGGAAGTGGCCGCAGGTCAGTCATTTTGCCCCCTGACCATCTGATCTTGAACTTTATACTTATCCGTCTTTTAGAGAAACATACATTTTCAACATTTCTTAAGCCCTGCAGTTGCAATTTCCATAACACAAAAGTTCCAGTTGGTCTTCAACTTAAACATTTGGGAAATATACTTTATATATCACTTTCTTGCCAAGTCAGTTAGCTTAGCTAAGACTGGAAGCAAGGGGGGGAGTTGTGTGTTTTTGCAGGAGTTTTGGGCTGTAACCATTTCTGATGACCAGCAATTAGACACTTCCTGCAGTCTTCATGTCACTTTGAGGTTAGCAGATGAATTAGCAGAGCAAGTTAGCAGAGGCTCCGGGTTACTGTGTCCAGGCAAGAAATAGTAGCAGGACAAAACCTCCTGTGAAACAACAATGTGTAGTTTTTACATTTCTGTTTGTGTATCACATGAACAACATCATGTGTTAATAAAGCGTTTGAGGTGTAAGCAGGCAGATTGTTTCAACAGACAGAGCAGGACTTTCTGTTTCCCCAGCGATGGAGGCGGCGCTCTGTTCGTTCTGAAAGCTGCTCAGTGGCGCATGAAGCCAAAAAAGCCATTTCCCACTCCAAATAAATTACCCGGATAAATACGGACTAGAGACTTCTGCTTGCCAAGCCGGCTAACTTCCAGTTTAGCCCTCCGTTGGCTCCTTGAATGGGGATAAATAATTTAATCTGGCGAATCTTCTAGACTTTAAAAGTGTTATCGGACTGTGAAACTTCCTTTTATGCTCACTGCATTTACTTACCGTGGGAGTTGGGAAAGTTGCATTCAGATAAAATATAGTGCTAAAATAAAGTCCCTTCACGTGCTAAAGGTCTAACCTGTAACTTAAATAAGTCGACTGAATCAATCAGAGGGCAGAGATGTTACGAGCTAAGGGCCAGAATAGAAAAGGTTTATTATCTAAGTTTAATATAACGTGTCCCACATTGTTCCACACAAACACTTTTGTTGTGATCTGGTCACCCTATTTATATCTCAGCAGTAATATTTCCATTGACATTTTATGGCATACTAGAATTTCAAATAGTAACATCCTTCAGGCAGTTATATTGTAGTATTTAATGGAAAGAAATACGTTATAGAGTTGCATTCAGGGCCAGTAGCCTTCACCTGTTGATAGAACATGTAGTCCTGTAGTGGTGTTATTCTGTGTTTAGAGTGGTTTCCATTCTCTCCCTGACACTTCATTGTTTCCTGACTTCATATCATAGACAACATGCTGTATCATTGACTGTTTATTTGTTATTTTCCTTTGTCTGTCTGTTTCCTAGAGATGTTATTAAGGCTCTTGAACCAGTGTGTGTGTGTGTGTGTGTGTGTGTGTGTGTGTGTGTGTGTGTGTGTGTGTGTGTGTGTGTGTGTGTGTGTGTGTGTGTGTGTGTGTGTGTGTGTGTGTGTGTGTGTGTGTGGTGAACTTCTGGCTGCAGTGTCTTCCTGTGGCATCAGACAGGAAATGGATCAGGCCAGCACTATCTATCAGCTCATAACCACAACAACAACAACAACAACAACATCAGCATGTGTCTTTGTTTACGGACGTGTGATGCAAAAAAAGCAAATATCAGAACGGTATTAAAGACGTTATATCTCAGACTGTTTAGTTTCAGTAGTTTCTGTCTCTGCTGTAGAGGATCAGAAAGGTAAAGGTGGCGACGATGACTCTCATGACTTTAACCAGGGTTAAGATGATAATGGTTATGTAATGGTAATACTGACGAAAGCCCCTCAGCACGTCAACAAACCTTTTGGAATTTTCCATCTGTTTCTATAACACAAACTCTCTGTAAACACAGTTGACAAGAAGCTATCCAGCTGCTTCCTTAATGGAGAGAGAGAGCCTGTTCACACTAACAGCCAGCGTGGAAAACATGGCTGTCTTGTAAACTTTCTTAAAAGGAATGACAGTAATTTCTCTACCCTATTAAAACATATTTAGTATTATACTATATAGTATTATTATTATTATATACTATATATTATTGCTACATGGAAACTATTTTAGCTGTATGACTTGATCCTGGTATAATCATAGCTCTGTTTTATAGAAGGTAATTATTATTATTATCTATTGATAGATAGAATTTTACAAACGATGAAAATATTTATTATCTCTTTCATCCTTTTCGATTTCTGTCACTTTCATTTATTTTCTACCATTTTCTAACAGGTCTGTAACACTATTCCCTACAATGCATTGTATCTTATTAGTATCTTTCGTGTTTAAGTCCCTGTATAAAGATTTCCACCTGGCCCTTGTGAAACCTGTTCTTTCTCCTTAAACTCAATATTTCTCAATTATTCAATTCAGTTGTAAATGAATCGCGTTTTTATGCGTCTCTTTGTTAAGTATTTCACTTTCCACACAGTTTTGTGAGTTTTGACGTTGTTCTGTATAGTCTGTGGTTTTCACCAACAGGACACTGTTAGAAATCTTGAGGGAAAGGAGATTGATGACCTGCCTAATGAACAGTTTGGGATGCAAAGTCCTCAACAAGATTCACTCCACTTAAAAACAAATGTTCTCGGTATACCACAAGGGAAAACACAACGATAACATGCTGATGTTTAGCAGGTACATGAAATGGTCACCATGAAGTTCAAGACCTTTATTTGTCTCCAAGGGGCAATTGCCAAAGTAACAATAAAAAACAACAACAGCAACAGCACTACAGGGTGAGACGTACGGACATAAATAAAAAAACACCCATACATAACTATACATATTAAAACATGTATAGAGTACATGAGTACAAGTTCAAGTACACATAGTGAAAGAACACAGTGCTGATGTTAACATTAGCTAATAAGCCCTGAACAACTGAGGCTCATGGGAATGTCAACAGATTTGTACATATGACATAGTCACAAACCGCTGGAGGAGAAGTCAGAGGATAATCAAAGTTATTACAATTCATCCTCAACGCAATATTAATGTTTGATTTTTCTTAAAACTACAAAAAGAAAAACATCAAGGTGGCACTAGAAGAAAATTCAACATCACTGGGAATCATCCAACAGTTGACAGACTGACCCGACCATGAGAATAAGAAATTAAGTTTATTTTCTCAGACCAGTGTAACGTCGTCAAGTTTCAGTTTAGTTGTTCATTTTATGAATTTTGGCCTAAGAAAACATCTCTTTCCTCCCCAATCCTATTCTCATGACTGCACCAGATTAATGATGAAATAGCCACAATTATTCTGAGATATCAATTTACTGAAAATTGTATCAGGAACGAATCGGCTTCCTGCCAAACTACGCAGGAAGTCTTGTTCATAAAGTGCATAGCTAATTAGATTTGAGACTAGAATAAGGAGTCGTGTAAAACTTGGTGCATTAATGGTCCCTCTGTATGAGAGAGCATCTAACTGGTTCAACATGCTGGAGATGAACTCTCACATGGCCTCCAACTTCCTGTCTGCTGGACATGGCTCATTAATAAATAGTCCTGTTACATAAAGGGAAGCGAGCGCCTGAAACTTGTGGTTTGCAACGATAATCGCTTATATATGTCTCACACAGTCAAGTTAAAGGCCTCTATGCTGCTGCGCAGCGAGAGCCATAGCGTGATATCAGTAAAGCGGTTTCATGTGTTTGAGTTTGTGTTCGGGGGTTGCTGGGTATCTGCTGGTGCTCTGACGTGAATGTGTCAGCAGACAGAAGTGGATGGCAGAGCAGAGCACTGGAAACATAGCTGAGATGCTTCTGTTGAGACTGTTTGGACTGTAGTGAAGGATTGGACTGGAGACTGGATTCAGATCGGACCGAAGTGTAACACAACAGCTTGGACTAGAAGTTTTAAAGAGCAAGTTAAAGTTTGTCTCAGCAATTTAAGACACATAATTTATTTTATAAGGCAGCAGCTGTGTAATCCTGTTCTGTCCCTGGTGATTTCAGTCCATGCCAAACCACTTTCTGGGGTGGATCCACCAAATGCAGGGGGGATAAAAAAAAAAGGCCTGGCCTTTAAAATTTAACAGATTACTTTATAGTGATTTTAAAAGTAACAATTTAAAAAGCAGAAATTAGTTTAATGATCTGTTAGGGCCACATTTTAGAGACAATTTATTGATCTCAAAAAGCACCTTTAGATATCTCTATTTAATGCTTTACTAATGTGCCACAATAATGTAAGATTTTTGAGTTGAAGTATCTTAATTTGGGGCGGTTCTCCAAGTAAATATTGATATATGTGATTGTTTGCGATTAACTCAGCGTATATTTCTGCCACCCCATGAATATTCCTGAAGATCCATCCCCGCCTTAATGGGATTTCAGTCACATTGTAATCCAGATCACAGCGCAAGTGGTCAGGCTGGCATGAGTGATAAAAGGAAAAAAGGCAGATAAAGATGATGAACAGCCACAAAAAGCCTTTTTCCACATCCACAATTTGCACACACAGACCTTCCCTAAATCTGAATACCTTTATCGTATGTTCAGTTCAGCCTCTTTCACTTAGTTCAACAATTTCAGAGTCTGTAATGAGTTAAGATTAATAAATCTTACCTCATTACGTTCACATCACTGAATAATCGGATTATTTATATTGATTATTACACCTGTAGCCATCAAACAGCAGCAGTGAGCGTCTCCAAATTAAGAATGGGCATCTTTAGGCACAGTGGCACCGCAGTAGTAGCGTAATTATAGTTATTAATTATTCTGTCACTCAGACAGGATCGGTCAGTATCTCATGGTAAATCACATTCTGCACTTTTCTACACAACAGACAGATAAACTGTTACTCAGAGGTTACAAGCTTATCCAATCAAATCTTTCAGAATGAAGGATGAGCCCTGCAATGTTCTACCAAATTCTAAATTAAATCAACGATTGATTTAGTTTTCCTAGATTTTTAATGGAAATTGTTTATATGGATTGTTGTTGGGAAACATGAACATCCTCCCTTGCCTTGACCTTTTTTTTTTTTTTTACTGCTGTGTTATGCAAACAGTATATAAATCAATGCAATTAGTCGAGTTATCATTAAATCACAGCACAAGTGTTGTTTTGAGGAGCGGTTCTGCTCATCAGCGTCTCTCTCTGTCTCACAGCAGTGACAGCGCTGCCATGGCATCGGGACCTCCAGATGTGATGACCAATCAGGATCCTGCTGAGGTCGCGGAAGAGTGCTCAGGTAACAATTTGATTAAATGCTGAAAAGTTTTCATGTGATTGCAGTGAAGAAAGTGTGAATATCATAATAATAATGAGAAGAACTAGACACCCAATTAAACATTGTCTTTTCCTTTTTGCTTGAACTGGAAGTTTACAAGGTCATCTAGTGCAGTGGTTTTCAAACTGGGGTCCATGAACCAACAAGGGTCTGTGAGTGGGTGGTAAGGGGGACCCCCAGGGAAAGGACGGAAGTTGGGAAAAGGGAAGAAATGGGGTTGGCTGTTTTGATTTGTAGTGATCACTGATTGACTGTGAAGGGATTATTTTAGATAAAATCCTCTTAAATTGGGGGACTGTACAAAGTGTGTAAAAATGACTTTTTATGGTTAAGTCTATATTAATTCCAACTCATTCAATTTTCACAAGTAAAATATTGCATTATTAATTGCATTGGCTAATTTGAAACAGCATTAGACTCTCAATCCCTCGGTTGCCATTCATATATACACAAAGGCTCTGACCAATGTGATGACAGACATGATGTGCAAAGTTTGTAGTTAATTCATATTGTGAAAATGAAAAGCTTATTTACAAAATTTGACACCTAAGATATTTTAAGGTCCAGTGTGTAACATTTAGGATCTATTGGCAGAAATGGAATAAAATATACATAGGTACTATTTCATTAATGTATAATCACCAGAATATAGAAATCACTTGAATAAGCCTTTTTTATCTACAGACACTGTGGGTTGCCTTCCGTGGAGGCCATGTTGACCCACCATGTTTCTACAGTAGCCCAGAAGAGACAAACTAAACACTGGCTTACACGTTTTTAGCGTGTTTCACTGTAGTTTCTCCTTTGTGCTAGATCCTACACACTGGACCTTTTTATAAGTAAAAGTATAAATATTGCAGCAGCATTATAGATAGAGAACAGTCGTCTGCATACAAATAGACATCGAACAAATTAAAAATATAGAACTTATTGCTTTCTTTTGGCTTTCTTTTTGGCAGCTCCAGACAGCAGCAAGTGACTGAAAATGTTATAAATACCAAGAAATCTTTGATGTTGAGACATCTGTCCACAGAGCACACTCGGCTTCATCTTCCATCCATAAAAAGACACTGAAGCAGATCAACTGTGTTTTTTTTCTTCAGGTTTTGATGGGTCACTCCCTTTATATTCTGTCACCAGGTCTCACTCAGTAGGAATATCCACAAAAGTGGTAGATTTTGATATAAACATCTTAAACTTTAGCTTTAAAGTCAAAATGTTTTCTCAGGAACTGCTGACAAACATAACAAATTATATTACTGGGTGGATAGTAGTATATGGAAGTCTTATCATCTTATCAGCTATGAGATTTTGTACACACACACAGCAGGGAAGATCAGGCCAGGCTTTAACAGTCTAGATCTCCTCGCTGCTGTTGGCAGGAAATGAAGGAACAGAGAAAGCTATCATCATCTCTCACTCATATACAGACACACACAAAACACAGATGCACACTGTCTATACAGATGGAGAGCACATATGCTGCTGATATAATGGGAACAAGGAGGACGTGCTTGGGGAGGTCAGAGAACATGAGCACACGCCCACACTGAAACAAAGTGGAAGCAGTCTTTCATGTCTGAACTTTAGACTAGGTCTGAACTAGGACATATTTTATTTCTGACATTTCAGTGAAAATCTCTGAAAATGTGTAGTTTGTTGCAGGAAACACACCATTAGTGTGTAACGTTTGGTGAGTCACTTCTGTTTGAATCCCATATGGGAGAGTTGAACGTCAGGCGTGGATCCACAGATCACGGAGTCGTGTCCGTCTCAATCTGTAGGTGTTAACCCTGTGATGGTGCCAGACTGGCAGCTGATGTCTGATTATGTGCCGTGTTTGAATTGGATCTGCAGTTTCAAAGGGTTGAAGTCTTTAAATAGAAGTGATACAAGTCTGTTCCCTTCTTCCTTTAATTCTGCTCTTCGGGAGTTTAAAGTGTATGAAAACTTGGTTTCAAATCTAAAGTCATGTTTTTTAACATTAAATATTCATGACGTGGTACTGTAAATAAGCAAAAATCTGAAGTTAAAGTTCAGAAAAACACATCCTTGTGAATTATTTATAAAAATCTCACTGAAATTAAAATTCGTTTTTGCTAAGAGATCAATAAATATATAATATTGGTGTTGTTTTGACTTGTATACTAAGTAACTAAAGTAAATAGTAAAGTAAGGTAACCAAAATAAAACAACACCTCTATTCAAGTGATTATACACTAATGAAAACATACCTCACCTTTACATTTCTACCAATAGATCCTTTGAAATGTTACATAATGGATCTTTAAAGAGACCCTATATTAGCTTATAGATACTAACACCTGTTGGTATGACTTAAATAAATGATCACAATGACAATTTATTACAACCTTCACATACTGACAACAATTGAGAGCTAAAATATTATTACTGACATCAACCTCTTTTACATTCATCCTCTCCTCACCTCCTCATCTTCCTCTTATTCTCCACCTTAATCCTCCTCCTTCTCCTTGCAGTGAATAGAAAACAAAATTGCATCAGTTTTGGGGACAAAATAACCAATGTTGCTCTTAGAATCTGTATTATTAGGCACGCAGCTCACAAATACAAGACCGCCACCGTAAGTTTCACTCCAGCTGACAACGACCATGTCACAACCCAAAAAATTTAAATTATAAAATTATATAGGTTTAGGTTCCCTCTCCTCCTTTTTCTCACTTAGCCCACGACATTGTTTCCCAGTCAAAGGTCACCATCTTCTCATTAAGCTGAGGTCAGTTCCTCGTGATATTGACCTTAAAATTTACTATTTTGAATGTGTGCATGTATTCATGTTTGTAACTGAGCGAACGTATATTGGGAAATAACACATCTCTAGACCTACAATGACCATAAAGCTTAGCTGACCTTCCATTGAAGCAGTGGCCTTCTCCTTTGAGTGCAGACCTTTAACTTAATAGTCTATTGTGCCTAAAATAGCACAATAAATGGCAATGTCGACTGGTGTTTCCCCCTGATTTTTCATCTTGGCAGTGAAGAAAGGGCCTCTGAAGCCTCATCAGAAAGAAGACTGGAGAGTAAATATAGCAGTTCATTTTCAGGCGCAGACAAAAGAGAGGAGAAACTGCAGCCAACATTTCTTCACAGAAAATGGATGAGAACTGAATTTATCTTCTATTAATAGTCTGACAGGTGTTATATTTAGCACTCCACGCAGAAAAAACTGCTCTTTGATTTTGATTTATAGTTCATTTTTGTGATGTTTTTGAATGTGTCACATAAAATGTACCAATAACACACACAAGAGCTATAAAAAAGAAAAGAAATCAAGCTGCTATGATATCAAATGTAATATCGATGACATGAAAAGAAATAAACTCAATCATTTTGTGATTGTGTTCTTTTACCAAATGACCCAGAAATGCCACCAGGTTTAGATTCCAGACATATTTTTCAGCTGTGATTTCTCTCCAACCAGAAAGAGAGTATTTTTAGAGAAAGGAAGGAATGCTGAAGGATTCCCCCACAGGGTGAAGGACAAAAATGACACAGCAAGTAAAAAAAGAATGTGTTTTTTTTGTGGCCGAGGGATGTGAATTCTCAGAATAGTTGGATCGCAGTCGGTTTGTTTTTCTCCCGGCTCCTTCTTTTGTTCACAGTTCCTTTTTCCTATGTTTCCCCTGCGCCTCAGCCTCAACGACGATCCGCTGTCTGGGGAATAATATATCCGTATGTTGGGATAGGGCGTTCGATCATTTCTCTCCAATGGAGATGCTCCAAATTTGTTTTTGTGACAGTGAGTTTTGCGTCAGTCTGGGATAAGAGTTTCTTTTTTTTTCTTTTTCTTTTTTTTTTTAAGTATTTTTTGGGGCTTTTTATTGCCTTTATGATAGAGACAACTGAAGATAGACAGGAAAGGGGGACAGAGAGAGGGGATGACACGCAGCAAAGGGCCTCAGGTCGGATTCAAACCCTGGACCGCTGCAGGAAGGACTCAGCCTCGGTACATGGGTCGCCAGCTCTACCCACTGAGTTAACCGGGTGCCAGAGATAAGAGTTTCTAACTTTTGTCTGTATTGTAATGTTCATTTACAATGCCTAGTCAGGTCAGAGGTCAGGGAACATTATGCAATGCTCGATGCCGCCGACTGTCCTATAGCACTGATAGAGGTTAGATGCTGCTTCAAAAGAGATTAAGCGTTACCTATAACCAGATGGGGCAAATGTACACACATTCTTTACTCAAGTAGAAGTACAGATACTTGCGTAAAAGTAGAAATACTGCACTCTTGGTAAAAAGTAATCTACCAGGAATGTACGCTTGGATGTATTGGACTGGTCCTCATTTAAATAAATCTAGGGGCAGCATTTTTTGAGTGAAAGTTGCTCTGTACATAGCCATAGTCTTGTTATTGACACAAAGATAAGGAAATGCATCTCTCTTTATACTGATTATTTGACTTGAATAGAGAAACTACATGTGGAGACAGTCCACGGCCCTTCTGAATGTGGGACAGAGAGAGGACCGGTTGACATTTAAAGTCCTGCATGAGCGCCTTGCTGACTGAAAGCAGTGAAAGCAGTTTGTAGCTGTTTAAGGAGTTATAAAAGAGTTGTTGAGTTTTCCACTGCGGTGCTAATGGAGGTGGACTCACTGGGGGGGGTTTACAAGCAGAAGAGTGTGTGTCTTTATGTACATCAGTCCTGGTGTGTAGTTTCTCCTGGGTTGCCTTTACAGCCAACACAGGGCTAATTGGTCAAACTAGAGTTCACATGAGGGCTGTGTGTAAAGTTGCTGTGTGTGTAATTTTCTCATTAATACATAACTGTGCTGTTAGTTGTAATGGCTCACTGTGGTGCTGTCAGGAGAACTGTGAGGGGTATTAAACCAGCTTCTTTACGTTCCTTTCTTCCTTTCTCTCTTTTCTCACAGGAAAGAAGAAATCCAAGTTCCAGACGTTTAAAAAATTCTTCGCCAGGAAGAAGAGAAAGGAGCCACCAGCCGCAGGAGCAGACGCGGGGCTTAAAGCCAGCCAATCAAGCGACAATGTCAGCAAAACATCCGAAAATAACACGCTCACTCGATCAGAGAAGGAAAAGGGCTCTGGGTAAGATCAGACTAACTGTGTAACTGTGACTGCAACTCTCTTATATGAACCACTGACACAAGCTTCAAATACTTCTATGTGGTTTACTGGGGGAAATGTTGGGTTAATGGTTTCTTATTATCAGAAGAAGCTCAGTAAATGCACTTTGGATGAACTGAAAAGCTAATTTCATTATAGAGGAGAAAGGCTTTTAGCAATCTCAACCACCGTCTCTTCACATATAGCTTTATATTTGCTAGAGAAGGTTTACTGGATGCCTCATCTACACATTTCTGTTAGGAGTTCGAACTGACATCATCACATTTTCTCTAAACTGCGCATTGAAATGGATCATTGATTCCTTCCACGATGGTAGTTTTGCTGTAGATTGAGCCCATTTTAACCCAAAGTGTTAAAAAGTGCTTGCAGATAGTGATCCAGATCATTTGGCTCAGCTCAGGTCCTCGGCCCCCAAACGGCTCTTCATTTAGTACCCCTTATGGCTTTAATGATTCAGCCAAATTTAGCATTATTTGGATCTTTGATTGGTATCTTTGCATATATATGACTTAAATTATTCAAGGTAATTATATGAAACCTTATAATTTCCATAGTTTTACATTATGCTTGATTTAAAAACCTTAAATAATTTAAAAACATCAAATACTATTAAACATTTAATTTATATTGAACTATGTTTTGTATGTTGTTGTATGTATGTATGTAAAGGACGACTCCCATCTTTCACATGAAGGAGCCAGAACAAGAAGCAGTGTAGGGACCATGTTCACTTGTTCACAAACAACACTTCTTGAGATTTTTTTTTAACTTTTGAGCAAATCTGTTGGTGTTTGCCTCATAGTTGTGTTTATATCTATTATGGGACACTAAAACCCAAGGTAATTAAATCATTTTTGGTGGGTTGACAGATTCTTAAAAGACCAGTGTGTAGGATTTAGTGGCATCAAACAGTAAAGCTGCAGATTGCAACACCATGAACGCCTCTGGTGTCTGTATTTGACCACCTGGGAATGAGAACGAGCTGTGAAGTGAGTAGGAGAAACTACGGTGGCCATGAAACTCAGCAAAAAACCCAAAATCTACAACCAGCATGGAGGGTGAACCGCTGCCCATGTAGATAAAAATGTTTCATTTTAAGGTAACAAAAACACAACAGTTCTTATATTCTTAAGTGATTATACACTAATGGGAACAGATTTCTTCCAATAGATCCTCCTAAATGTTACACACTGGACCTTTTTAAAGGGAGTTGACCCACCCCAATGAAATATGAACAGTATTTTATTCAGCCATCACTTATTGTACACCACAAGAATTTTAAAGGAGTTCACCAACAAAACAAAACCACTGGGAGAAATTACAAAAATTAATTTTCCTGCAGCCCAGTATTGTGTTTCTATCCAACTGGTTGGCGTTCGTCTGTCCATTTAGATAAACATCTCCCCTTCTTGTGAAAAGGACAAATACAATTTAAGAAAGGAAGATCATGTTTTAACATCCATCTCCTGTCCTTCCTCAGCTGGGGCTCATGGTTTCCTGTTTTGGTAACAATTGGTGGAATCTTTCTTCCTGTGGACAATCTTAATTTCCTTTGTTTTTCTAAGCTGTGCCACTTCCTGCCTTGTCTACTTTTGACTTTTCCTCGTTGTGTCACAGGATATATCTGCCCCACTTTTATTGAAGCCATTCTGTGTTCATCATTATAATCATTAGTTAGTCAATATCAGTTTATTTTGAATGATTTTCTTTGAATAAAAGAAATTGCTTTTCAAACCCTCACCATTGTTGGTCTTTGGTATTTGTTGGCCTCCCAACATCCAGTTCTTTCTATTTTGTTTATTTTGTTTTAGGAACTGTGAAACATCACTTTCCCCTTTGTTTATTTCTTCCTCTTCCTGTTCCCCAAAGGTCAAAGATCAGCCTGGGCAGCAAGGCCTTGTCACATGACTCTGTCTTTGTTTCGGACTCATCGGAGGCCAACGATGCTCTGGGGGCATCTCAGGACAGCATTCATGGGAAAGTGAAATCACTACAGGTAAATACACATTTAAAAAAAAGCATACCAGGTCTTTTAGTTTGAGCTCCTGTGTCAACAAGCCTCTCCCTCGAGAAAAGGTCCAGGATGCCTCTGAAGAGACAGGGCAAGAGGGAGGATTTGAGTGCAGCTTAATAAGCAATAAAGAAACATCTTCTAATAAACAAATAAGGAATCACAGTCTGTGTGTTAAATTGGGAGTGAGAATGTCTATGATCCTGTGCTGTTCTCAGCTGTCATAAGCAGTATTTATCATTAAAGGAGTTGATGGAGTGAGACAGAGCGGGACCAGCTGATCTGCTGTATATTTAGTCAGACGGGCTGAGCTGAAGTGTATCACAGAGAGAGGTTAAAACCGAAGCGTCTGTCAAAGCAAAATGAAGGACCGGATGATGAAAAGAAAAGCGGACAGACAGAACAAACGTCTGTCACGACAACGTGCTAAAATGGGAAGACATGAGACGCAGACAGGCGGACCTGACCTCCAGTTAAACTGCTCCACTAAGCTACCTACAGGGGAGTGAGAATTAAACAACGTCTTAAGGGGATTTGCTAAAAAGGAAAACTTTCTCTGGCAGCTGTAACACAGAGAAAGTGTTTAGCTTGGCACCTGAGACAGCGATCACACAGCGTGTACGAGAGGCCGAACAGGCAGAAAGACACAGGGAGTAATAGTCCACAGTGCATTTATTACGCAATATTCAAACAAAAAGCTGCACAAGCATGCAGATGAAATGGAAATAAATAAAAATAAATACATCAACTGAATTTACTGTGGGAAAACAGTCTGATGGAGATTTCCTGTCCTTAATCCTCACTCTGAGCTGAGCTGCGTGTTGAGGTCCAGAGCCAAATATAAACACACTATATAAGCATTGATATGTTATGAGGTGTATAGTTAGAACATAATGCACAGTGCTAACAAGTAAAGTGCATATTACATGGTGCTCACTATGGTGGTGTTAGCTTGAATCCAAAACAACATTTAACAGTACAATTTATACAAACTTTTTTTTGTATAAATTGTACTGTTAAATTATATTTTCTGTAAAGTTTAGGCCCTTATGCTACTTCAGAGCTGTCTTCAAAGTGCCAGGACATAAATCTGATGGAAAAATACCAAACCCCTTAATGTTTCTCATTAATATTAGTTGCATTTAAAGGCAGAATGAATGGGAAAATCCTAAAAAAAAACACCACCCTCTAGAGGTGTCTGGTGGTATCTGCAAACACTCTTCCCTGCCTGCTTGTATTTTCTTCTCTTGCTGTGTTCAGGGTGTTTCTTCATGTCAAACTTTGGGCTAAAAAGCGTGTACCGCCCAGCCAATAACATTTCATTTCTGGTGTTGTCGAGCCAGTCAGGAGGGGCCATCTTTGAACGTTGTGTTTACAAACCGCAAGCGACATATCCTGCTCATTCTGCCTGTAAGAATGCTGACAAAAGGAATAATACATTAACACTACCACATGTAATTGGATCCTCAGTGGTAGCTAACTGAATTTGACATGTTAATGGATTCGGTAGCATATCCTGTAACAGTTGAGATATTCACTAAACAGTATCATTTGATGTAAAAGAAATCTATCTTTTCAAAAAGCTAACTTTTTTGGTGGTCACACATACGCCACATACATGAATTATAAGCATTTCTTTTTCATCTTGAATCATATGCAGTCATTTCACAACAGCAAAATAAAGATAAATGTATATAACACAACATTTTGTACTGTAATATACAAATTTAAACTCAGAATTAGCAGTAAACTGAATTTAATGTACTAGAAAGCTGAGTTTCTCAACACAACTGCCGATGGTGAAATAAGCTGTTTCCGTATTTTAGTTGGAGCTCCTCTCTGTTTCTGGATGTGTTAGAGTTACCGTAACAACACTGAAATATTAACGTTGAAATATTAACATTGAAAACTGCAGCGGTCGATTTTTTTTCTGTCAAGGACTTGTTGTGTGCCGGCGTCCAGCCCGGCTAAAGAAAAGCTGTATTGTCCAGTGTTTGCGTTGCACCTGAGTAAATGAGTCCTTGAGTGACTGTTACAGGGCAACACGTAACAGTCAGATAACAACTCTGTTAGTTTGAGTTTCTGTGATACCTACCACACACACACACACACACACACACACACACACACACACACAGCCTAAATAAACACTGTCTCTCTTGAGTGCCAGCTGACTGTCCTCCCAAGTCATTCTCTGTTAATCATACTCTACACTACTGAGGATTTCCTGACGGTAAAAGCGGTGAAACTTTGTAAGACACACAAAAGCTCAGTCAAACACACCTTTGTTCCCTTTCTTTGTAAAGCTGTACTTTATCTAACCGGTTGACAGTTTTGGCTCTTCTCCATCTCTGATAACATAAACTCACACAAAACCTGGAAAACACTTTCACTTCCTGCTGTAATATGTTTCCAGGTTTTTTTTTTTTTTATTCTTTTCCAGGTGTTTTGAACATAGATGACACACGCACACAAAGACAATTTTATTTTTGTTTTTCTGCAGCTCCAGCTGAAGCACGCCATCGGACTGGGCTCGCCTCCATCCCTCATCTGCGTGAAGAGAACAGAAGATGCTGGAACCATGTCCGAGGATGACGGCCTGCCCTGCAGTCCACCTGAGTACACGACACTCCACGCAGTCATGGTAACACATAATGTCCTCCTCTGTCGTCGCCTTGATTGCCATTTGCTGCAGACCGCACTGCTAACGCTGTTGTTATTTTCTCTCTCAGAATCAGGCGAAGAGGAACAGCTCGATCAGTCTGGAGAGAGTAGACAGCGATGACGACCAGGTAAACAAACACTTGAAAGATTACTCCACCTTTTTAGCTTTGCACTCAAATCATTACATAGATATTGTTCCAGACATTCCTTTTACTTGTCTAGACCTGGGGCCTACATCAATTACCCACAATGCAACTCGACCTCCAACTGTTTGGTTGGAGATTCAGGTGTGTTGTGCTAATAGAGGCTAATGTAGCCTCGGTTTTTGGTGACATGGGGACAGAAGAACTCTAAATCAAGCTGACAAACAGCCCTGGTTTATTATTTATTACCTTTTAGAGTTGTCCTGGCTAGGACATTAGGAGTCATTTTTTGGCCAATGTAAGCAATATTCACTCTCCCTTTAGATCTGTTTTGGTTCCCAAGTCTTGTGGGAAATATTTGAGCTTTTTAGGAGTTTGACATTAGACTTTAGTCACTAACGCGTTACTATGAATCGCACCAAAGTCCATGTTTGTGGAGGAAGTTGTGGTGGGCGAATGGGTTAAATACTGGACTTTCATCTATGAGACTGGGGTTTGACTCCTCTGTGAGACAATGTCTCTGGCTTTTTATTTTCAGTTTTTGTGTAATCTTCAGTTTTCAGTCACAGTTCTAAGTTTAGGCAACAGAAATGATTGGATAGGTTTAGGGAAAGATCATATTTTAGGTTAAGATAGCCCATTTTCATATTATTAACCAAAAGACCTGAAGGCTAACTACTTGTTTTACCATGAGCACCTGACCTATCCTACACAGGGTGTGTATTGCCAAGAAAAGCGGCGGGATTCATCAACATGTGTCGCTAACTTTGCCTTTCCTGCCATAAAACCAAAACAAGGAGCTAAAAGATGCAAAAAAAAAGGCTCTCCTGTCACTGCAGAGTTTGGTGTTTTTGCAGTGACAATGTTGCTTCCACACTGCAACGATAAATCCCTGCCCTCAGGAACCAGACTGAATCCACAACTCCAATGCGAGGCGCTATTGTAAAACAAATAGCCTGTAGCATGGTGTGAATTTCCACGGTGTGAAACAGTCATTCAAGTGATCTCATGGTATGCTTTGTGATTTTTAAAGGCCAGGAGGAACCTTCAGGCTGTGTGATTGTGACATTTCTCCTCATGTGACTACGATGGTAAAAACATCTCATGATCCAATCTAATCACAGAAACACCGCTCTTGCTTGTAAATAAAAGCCCCCTTCATACGAACTGACCTCCTCCATCTCTATTTGTCTCTCTTTTCCCACCTATATCCCCATTGTTTATTACTGTTTCTCCCTCTGTATCCTATTAGTGTCAGTCCCCTGGCTCATTGTATGAGTGTTCATCCCCTGTGACCTGATGTCTCACATGCTCTCTTAACAGTTAAAACAATCCACTGAAGTACTTTTCAGATGGACAGAAACGAGTGCCAATTCGTGATAAGACAAGTGTCCTAAAAAGAAAAAACCTCAACTATCCATTTAGTCCCGCTGGCTATAATGTGGGCTAAAAGCTCAGTCAGCAAAGTATGACAAATGAGCATTTAATGATAGTGTCGTTTTAGCAATTTCAGAAGGCTTTTGGCCAGTCATTTCCCCACTGAAAAGAACCACTAATGGCCAGCTACAAAGACATGCACACAGAAAACCTGAAAATATCCCTTTTTAAAGTGCATTCCACACACAGGAATGTGGTCAAGGACTGCAGTGACTTATGAATTGCAGTCGCAGTGGCACTTTCCGGAGCTTTTCCATTCACCGAGAACTCATGACAGACTTCATGGAGACGCATTTTATTCTCAAAATGAACTTCACTGCAGCACTAACAGTTTGGAGCCATGTCAGCCTAAACTCTGCTGGTCTTGGTCAGTCTGTCTGTATTTATTGTAAATAAAAAGCGAGGCTTTGTCATTTGGCTTGGTCCTTTCAGTTTGTGGCTTTGAGACTGAAATATTCAAGATGACAGAAATAATTTGGAGCTCTTGGTGTTAAAGGACCAGTGTTTAGGATTTAGTGGCATTTAGCAGTGAAATTGCAGATTGCATTGTCTGTATTTGACGACCTGGGAATGAGAACGGGTTGTGAAGTGGCTACAAACAAGCGAAAGTCCCTATCTGGAGCCCGTGTTTGGTTTGTCCGTTCTGGGCTTCTGTATAAACATGGTGGTTCAACATGGCGGCCTCTGTAGAGGAACACCTGTAGATAAAAACGACTCTTTCTAAGGTAATAAAAACACAACCATTCTTATTTCCAGGTGATTATACACTATGAATATTATATATATCATTTAGTTTCTGTTTGTATCCATTAAAATGTTTTTATCTTTGAGGACTCTTGAAAGAAAAGCCCAGTTGTGCTTAAAGAGGTAATTAACTCCAGTTTAACACCTAGATGATGGCTCCCCATTGTGGCAATTCATAATAAATCAGGAAAACAATATAGGACTGCACATTAGCGAGGCGCTAGTTTTTTCAAGTCACTCATATGAGGATATTCACGACAATATACTTATCTAATTGTTTTTTATTAACCCACAGATTATTATAACCCGACTCCTCCCCTCAGCAGCACTTCAGTGCTTTGTAGCTTTTGGTTTTCTGTCCCAAAACGTCCCTGTTTTGCTCCACTCTCACCGCTCTCATCAGTGTTGTTTTCAACCACAGCTGGCAACTTAAAGAAAACCCACTTGTATGCTACCTGCTCAGCACTAAACAGCAGACAAAGTTTCTGACTGGCTGGTGAACATTTCCCTTTGCAGTTGGTAGAGACCAAAACAGAGCTAAAAGAGAGCGAATATTAGACTTAAATTCTTCATCGTGTCCCTGCTGGATGTGTAAACAGGCGTGTGCCATTTTAATCTTTATATGGTGATAAAATGTCAGTGTTGTGACTACAGCTTGTCCAAACAATCAATTCATGCACGTATAAGGAGGCAATATAGAGGCTTTCATTTAGTCATCAGCAGATAGTCACAGAAAGAAAGCAGCAACATCAGTTCTTCTTTCTGTCTCATAAATCTTGAAAATGATCAGTATTTGAATGATAGAGGATTTAACAACTTCCTGCAGTGCTGATTCATACAGTACATTCAGAATGAAATGCATACTGCATCTGTAACACAGTAAATAGCTGTCATGTGCTTTGTGTGTGATGATGGACCTTGTGTGTGTGTGTGTGTGTGTGTGTGTGTGTGTGTGTGTGTGTGTGTGTGTGTGTGTGTGTGTTGATGGGTGTGGTCACCTCAAGCTGCTCTTCAAACCTTAAATGGAAATCTGCTACTTGACCTCTTCTTGCTCTGTGTGTCCCGTTCTCTGTTTCCTTTCTCTGTTTTTCTGACCTTCTTTCTCATTTCTCCGACCATAATACTGTACGTGTTATTCCACTGACCCACTCTGTCTGTGTGTGTCTCTGTCTGTCTGTCTGTGTGTGTGTGTGTGTTCAGAGTGCATTCCAATGGTTTCTCTGGCAGTCAGCGTGTCTGCTTGTAGTTATGGCGTTTAAATTCTGCCTCAACCCGCCTCTCTCTCTCTCTCTCTCTCTCTCTCTCTCTCACACTCACACTCACGCACACGCACACACACACACACACACACACACACACACACACACAGACACAGACACACACACACACATACAGACCTGAAAACTCCATAAACAAAAATCTAGATGTCAACAAAGAAGAACTGTGATCAGATTCCTCCAAATGTGACACAATCTCTCAGTCCTTTTTATGGCTTTTGCTCACAATCAGACAATAATGTGTGTCCTAAATAGTGTATAAACAGTTCTGGTTTCATTTGCTGATGTTTAGAGATATCCATCTCTGAAACGACTGCCAATACAGTGGAGATGATTTGACCAGAGAGTGGAGCTCAAAGCATCAAACTTAAAAACTTAAAAATACCAGTGTTTAGGATCTAGTGGCCCCTAGGTCCGCTCTAGAGCCGATGTTTAGTTTGTCTGTTCTGGGCTCCTAAAAACATCTCATTCTAAGAAAATTCACATTTTCAGCTCATTATACACTAATGAAAACATACCTGTGTATATTGTATTCCATTTCTTTCCTAAATGTTATAGTTTTGTCAACTGAAACAGTCACTGTGCTCTTTCAGTTTGCCAAAGCATGCATGGAGATGTCAAAATGTGAATAATATTGACTCTTTTTAGTTTTTTTAATGGATTAATAGATGCAATGTGGATTTGTCAGAGTAGAGAGAGAGAGAGTGATACTTCGCCAGTGATGACAGAGCAAGTGTTGGTCCTACAGATAAGGACTGCTAATATTTATACAGCTGCACTCTCTCTCCTTCCCTCTTGTTACTGGTCTAGCTCTATTTCCTCTGGTTTCTTTATCTGTCGCCTTTGCCATTTTAATGAAAATCCCCTTTGTTTTTATCATAATCAACCCCCAACCACTTCCAATGTTTGGCTCTTTGGTCCCTTAAATCCAGGATCACGATTAAGAGCGATGACTCAAAGCTGTGACGGCTGTCTGGACAGCCTTTGTGGATACTTTGGCATGTGGATATAATTTTCCCAGGACATGGGTGGACAAAGCCCAACTTTTGTGAATGGTTCCCCATCAGAGTTGTCTCCAGATGACTTCACAGATCTAAGTGTTGTTTTCCAGCTTTAGCAGAGAGTTATTTTACCTGTATTATCAAATGCCTGAGGGGTATTTCCTCTGTTAATAAGTTTATTTGTGAAGCTTTTTAGTGAAACCTTCTGTCTCTGTCTCCCTCTCTCCCCAGCTGTCCTGTGCTGCCTCCAGTAGAGCAGTGAGCCCCCTGGTGGTTCCCGGGGACTTCAGCCAGCCGGCCAGTCCCTTCGGATGTCTGGATAACTCTGCTGCCAAACATAAGCTGGGCCTGAGATACAAAGCCTGCAACAAGAGGAAACCTGTCACTGTAAGACATTCAGACACACACAAACACACAAACATGAGCACATACATTCTGATACATACATTACGTATACTTTAAAGGATCATTCTTGTTTATTATTGTAAGTGTGAACCTATTGTGACGTCACCTGTTTGTTTGTTAAGTACCGTTTTGAAGCCTCAAGTTTGGTGTAATGGATGTCTCCATGTCGGCAGTATGCAGTAACACAATCTCGATTCATTACTTGATCAGCACTGCCTAGTTTGACAGTTTGATCTGAGTTTTGTGCGCTGCGAATTCACTGAGAATGACTTGTCAATCACAATGTAGCCACGCCCTAAAACATACCCTGCTTTATGGTCTATTTTACTCTAAATTGGACCATAATTTAAGAAATTAACATCATGCTGTTTGGAACAAGAACTGAATCTAGTGATTGAGACCATGAACTCATTAGGAAACAGTTTACTGCACTAATAAAGAAGTCATTTTCAATGAAGAATACAAGCATCTTCTGGTTAAAGGAGTGTCCAACCATCAGAGTGGTAATGAGACATTGTTATTCTGTCCCTGCAGAGGCTGGAGATGAAGGCAGGAGGAGACTCTGTGCTGGAGGACCTACAGAACACCTCCATAACTGAAGATTTGGAGGAGCGAGAACAGAAGACAACAGGTCAGCACACCTTTTTTGAATTCATGTCAGTGACTCTGTAAGCATGGAAGCCCCTTAATCAAAATTAAATCCCTTATTTCATCTGTAAGGGAATAATGTAAGATACTATTAAATATCTGATTTCCATTGTCATGTGTCATGTGTCGTGTGATAATGCGCAATTACTATATAAAAACAAATAATTGTCAGTTTATACCTGAGCATAACACAGCTATGTTTTTGTCATTTTCAAATTGAAATTCAACTTGCCAACTAAACTGCTGCTCTATGTAAATTAGTGTCCTGATTTTAGTTCATTACAATGAAAATAAAATGATAAGGGTTTTTAAAAGGGGCCTGAAAATGTAACATATTTATTATAAATCAGGACATTTGCAAAATCTTTCCATTTATTTTTAAACTTAAGGTCTCACATTATCCACCAATCTGACAAAAAAGTACATTTTACATTTCATTTCATTATCATCATGATGGTAATATGCATAGAAGTGCAATTTAAAATGTAGATTTTTTTAATTTTAATATAATGCACATAGAAATTGATCTTTGAAACTCTGATTTGGTTAAATTATTTCCTCTTAACATTGGCAGCAGTAGACTTCCATATGCTTGCTGCTACTGAATCATATCAGGTTGATTTTTGAGACCTTTGCTTCTGTTTATGATTCAGTTGTTGATGAGCTAAAACCAAAGGTGGAGAAGGAAGAAGATGATGAGGAGGAGGAGGAGGAAGAAGAAGAGCGACCACAGAATTCCAGACAATCCCTGTTGAGAGATAAGGAGGAGGGAGAGGATGAGTCGGAAGCAGAACAGGATGTTTCTCGCAGTCTGGACACTTCCTTTCCACCCGAGCTGTGTCTCTCAGAGGAGGAAGCTCCGGACACCGAGCGCCCGCCCTCCTCCAAGCCAAGCTCAAGCGCCTCCTCTCTGGACAGTCCCAGGTGATTAGACATAATTTCCTCCTCGCTTTTGCCACCTCCTTGTTTTTTGTTTTCTCCTTCTATGAATCTGACCCCCTTGATATCTGCTTCTAGAGCCACACCAGAGCCCCCTGCTGATCAGAGAGAGTACTTGCTGGACCCCCCAGGCATTGGGTATGGAGCCGTGGAGAACAGGGTTGACAGTGACTTGGCGCTGAGAGGAGAAGAAGATGGAGTCCAGGAAAACAGGGGGGAGGAGAGCTCCTTCTTACAGGAGGTGCTGAGCTCCTTGAAGACCCCCCTCGCGTCTTGCTCACTGGGCGTGGAGACTGAGGGTGTCGTCCTGGAGATAGAGGAGGAGGTGAAGGAAAAGGAAAGAGAAGACGTAGAGGTAGAAGAAGGCGAGGAGGTGAAGGAAGAGGAGGCAGAGGTGGAGCAGCCTGTCAGTTACCAGGCTGCTCCTGCTGGCTCCTTCCTGTCAGATCAGACCAACGAGGAAGAGGAAGAGGAAGCCAGCACTGCCTCTTGTCAAGATGTTGAAGAAGAGGAGGAAGTTGAAGATACAGAAGAAGAAGCAGTAAATGCAGAGGAGGAGGAGGAGGAGGAGGAAGAAGAAGAAGTAGTGGTGGAACTATTCAGTCGACATGGTGTATGTATCTTTGATTCATTTGTAATATTGTGATTGTAGTAGCTTTGAAACCAGAGACTTAACTTAAACCTCTCATACTTTCTTTTTGGGAAGGGGGGGTTCGTATGAGTGTTTCAAAGTGGGATTCATTCTCTCTCTCTCTCTCTCTCTCTCTCTCTCTCTCTCTCTCTCTCCCCCTCTCTCTCTCTCTAAGGCTGTTTGTTCTGCTCCATTTCTGTGCAGGTTTCATTCACAAACATGTCACCCAAGAGTAAATAGATTTTTACACCGCAGAGCTTCAAGTCCCGCTGTTGGAAATCAGCACACAAAAACAAATTTAGCAGTGTCAGTAGTGGCTCTAGGGGGTCTCTGAAGAAATGATAGCATATTTCTACGGTGTCAACACTGTCATAACAGAATGACACAGGGATATGGTTTGATAGTTTGATAGCCTAAAAAACGTCTTGCCAGGCACAGTCAATGGGAGGTGAAAAATTATATCCTACTAACTGTAGACGTTGTCAGGTTGCTCATACTCTAGTGCTTGTGGACTAAAATCTATCAACAAGCCTCGATGTAGGCTTCAATACACTCATATGTTTTATTTTATCATTTGTATTTTAGTCCATTGGTTGTCATATTTCAGCTCTAAATTAATTAACCATTTAGGCCTTTTGGGGGCAGCAAAGACATGTGTCAGCACAAACATTAACATCCTGTATTATCACCTTAATAAACAGATGCTTATTTACATACTCAGTGCACACAGAGATGAGTGTACGTCACTCGTCTGTCAGCTCAGTTTTGGGTCTCATTACTCCTGAAATATCCGCCTCTTTAGCTGCTAAATGCTCCACTATGTTCACCAGCTAGTTGCATCCATCTGCTGTTTGCTGCTGAGCAGGTAGTGTGAAGTGGATTTTTCTAATTATTATCTGAAAATAACTGCCTTCTACGTCCAAAAGGTGCTTTTTTTCGGTTGTGAAGGAAATATTTTGTTGTCTGTTTTCCTGCAGTTTTTCTGCCTCCACTCTCTCTTAAAGACACAGCTGTTTGTGAAGATTGAATCATGCAAAGCTGAGCACAATAGGTCTCCTTTAATATAAAAGTGTTGATTGTAGTGGAGAAAGCCAAACTGTCTGTACGTGACTCGTACGACAGATCTGCACCACTTATGAACTGGTGAATGCCATTTTTTATTCAATCACTCGTACGTGCCACTGACAAAAAAATCTGTTCAATCAAGCTCAATTGAAAAACTAAAATCTCTTTTATTTCCCTCTCTTCTTTATCTTCCAGCCCAACAAGGAAGGAGAGAAAGAGGAGGCAGAGGAAGTCAAACCAGAGGAACAAAGTGATACGCTCACAGGTAACACTGTTAACCAGGCAGAGGAAGAGGAAGGAGAAGAGGAAGAAGAAGGAGAAGAGAGTGAGGGAGAGGAAGAGGCGATAGAGCTGGAGAAGGAGCCAGAGGTGGAGGAGGAGGGACAGGAGAAGAGGGAAGAGGAAGATGAAGAGGTGAAGGAAGCAAGAGAGAGAGTAGAAGAGGCAGAGGAAGCGATAGAAGACGAGAGGGACAACGCAGAAGAGGTGATGGAGGTGCTTCCTGGTGGGTCAGATGAAGGCGTTAAAATGGCGCTGCAGGAGACGGATGAGGGCGTGGACGTGGTCGGAGACGACCCCGTGTACATTCCTCATCACCCGAGTGATGACGAAAGCTTTGGAGAGGAGAGGGAAGAGGAAGAAGAGAGAGTGGAAGAAGGTGTAGAGATCAACCACATGGAACAAAGATCAGACCAAGAGAAAGAAGAGGATGAAGAAAACCAACCTGATGAAGATCAAACTGAACAAGATCTGGAGCAGGAAGGTGTAGAAAACTACCATCTAGACGTAAAGCAAGTGGAAAAAGATCAAACTGAAGCCGCAGAACAAGCTGATGTTTCCTCCAAGCCTTCTTCTTTGTCTCTCCAAGAGTCCCATTATGAGACCCAGTCACAAGAGAGCGGAACCATCACTCCCAGTAAGACCAGCACTACCACTCTCCACATAAATCTGATCTCTCCAAGCTCAGAGAAAGTCACGTCTTTCTTCCCACAGTCTCCAACTGCCGCATGTCCCAAAGAAAGCGAGGCGTCTTCTCATGCTGTGGCAGCCACAGAGCAACATGTGGCATCCACAGAAGAAGAACCAGCTGACACCGTGGAAACCATAGAAGAAGATACACAGTTGGCCCTGGAAGAAGAAGCTACACCTCCCGCGTCTGTGGAGGAAACAGTCGGTTCAGATCAGAGTAAAGTCCGCTTCACCGTCGCCCCCGCCTGGCAGAGGTCACACTCTGTAGAAGATGCCAAAGAGAGTTCTCCCTCCTCTCCGCCCGCCTGCGTCTCCTCTCCGTCGTCTGCCATCGCAGGGCCTGGAGGTCTGGAGGCGGAGGCTAAGAAGGACCCGGAAGTGAAAGAAGAGCCAGCGAGTCCGGCTAAGGTTGAACTGGTGTTGAGTCCTGGGAGAGGGAGGAATGCAGGGACCACTGCTGCCAAACCACAAAGCATCACAACGCCGCCTCAGTCCCCGGTTAAACATCAGAGCTCAGAAGGTGAGGATGTAGAACATGTTTAAAGGCCCTCTAATGGTATTATTCTCAGTCCAGTGTTTCTCTTCTCTTTGCACTACATGCACTGAGAGTAGTCCAACATAAGGCAAGCTTTCTGTTGGAGTTAAAATAATAAAGTTTAACCACAGACCAACCTTTCCGCCCTCCCGCCTGCAGAAAGCTCTGTCATAGCGGAGGGAAACCCCGACAACCCGTTTGGAGTTCGGCTGAGGAAGACGTCAGTTCTGCACCGCTTCAGCTCGGAGGAGGAAAACACAGAGGTGATTACACGGACTTACACAGTGGAAAGAAAACTGTCATTCTTTAAAAAGCATTGAATACAGACGGAAAGACCCATTTCTCTCAGAAGCAGAGAGAGGTTGAGTAACAGTTAATTTCTCACTGCCTTTATTTGAGATCTAATAAAACTGGTTGTTGTACAACTGGTAGTGTAATATTTCTATTATTATTTATATTATTTATGTATTTTTTATATATATTCTTCCTTTTTACTGGAGTCAGCCTTAAAATAAAATAATAATAATTTCAAAAAGATGTTCAACTGTCTGCAGGAATCTAAAGTTCTCTTTTCTTTTGAGTAAAATACAATAAAACTGAACCATAGCTTAATGCTCCCTACCTAAGGGATTTGATAGCATTAAAGCTGTTGTAACAATGATTTAACTATAGATAAAATGACCGCTTATATGTGAAAGGTGGCGCCACGTCTTCCCTCAGCTCTACAGAGCGTTTTAGTGTCTTTATAGCCTTGGACACACTACAGACTTTCAGAGTTGTGAGATCTCTGTACAGTTCACATTACGCAACTTTCAGCCTTGTAATCGGGAGTTTCCAAAGTATGTTTCATCAGGCATTAATAACCATTAATAACAAGCACGTCATGTTTAATTAGGAAAGTAGTTTAAAAACATGCACAAAGGGCAGACTGCTGGAACTGAGCGGATTATTAGCCTGATCAGCCAGCGTCAGTAATCAATACACACATTATTAAACCATTTATCAAACTAACAATTAACAGCAGTTACATCAGACAACATTATCATACTACAGCAGTTTTCTAGTGTTTCTGTAGTGGTGAAAAGACGTTAAAAATTATACATATTATCAGTTTGAATTCCACTAAAAGCTCCGTGCACCAAACTCCCTTTAAGAAATCCGACATTCCTAACGTGTCCGTAAACTCTATAAGCACGAGCTAAAGTTGTGTATTGTGTGTACTGTTTATAAGTTTTGTGGTTTTCAGCTGCAGCAGGCAACTTTTTTTAGCTAAAAGAAAAATATATGTTGCTTTTACATTGGACTTCATAAACACTAATCTTTCTCTCTGTCACCTGGATGTGTAACAGCCGACTGTTCAACGTTTTGTGTTGAATCTTGTATTTATTTATTATCTTCTTCAGCCTCCCATCGAGCCACAAGCTCAACCAACCAGCTGTAAAGTTGACTCGCCGCAGCCAATCGGTGTAAAGCCCTCCATAAGTCAGCCAGTCAGCAGCAAGCCAGCCCTCCCCAAGAAACCAGAGCGCATCTCAGGTGTGTATACACACATAAACACTTCTGGAGGAGTAAACAGTGTAGAGTTCAACCCATGGTGTAACAGTGTGTGTGCGCTGTGTTATTGATTCAGACCCAGCTGCAGCTCGAGGTGTTTCCAGTGGATCTGAGTCTCCCAGCTGGATCTCTGTGGCCAAACAGAAACAGAAGATCTATAAAGAAAACTCACTGGAGGAGATTACTGTCAAGAAGGTAAACTGTCTCTGTGTAGTTGTGTTTCATGTGGACACAAATTCCCAGCAATGCTCTGAAGTGACATTGAATAACTGACTATTATGGGGGGGGGCCCACAATAACAAAGGCCTCATATTTCTGTGAAAACTGCTTTACCAACCTCAATAACTGCATGCAGGGGCAACGTGACATAAGAGTCACATGTCAGTATGATCACAACAACCCCAGAAAGTCCCTGCTTACAGTTCAGTTCAGCATTATTCTGTAATAATCAAGGAGACATAACTGCTTTGTAGCCCAGATTTGAGCTTAATACCAGAGACACAGTCTGTTAGTTACAGTCCAATATACCGAAGAAACATTTTTAACACCTTGGACTACAGATGAAATTAATATTTTAGCTAATTCTGGCATTGTTTCCCCTTGTTATCTATATGTCCTGCTTGTTTACAAGTCTTGTCTGCTAATGTCGCTCTGTATATACCCTGTCTGTCCTTTTCCAATCTCTAAACTGCATGTTGTTTTTGCTTTGTTGTATCTTAGGAACCCTATTGAACTCCTTGGACAGGGACTTCTGGCATTATTTTTTACCACTTGTTAACAAAGCTGGGATATTGGCAGGCAAATCAAACTCTAAACAAGACATTAGATAATGTTTAGGTTTAGTTCTCCAGCAGTTTATTGCCCCCCTGCCTCCATGTGTCTTCACAGTACATCATCACACATTTATAACTTGTGCTGCTCTCTGTCATCAGGAGGAACAAGAGAGGAAGACTTCACTGCCAATGTACGTCAACTCAGCTGTAAGCAGGGAGCACGGCAACAAAACAGAGTCTACTGGCAAAGGTCAGGCACACACACACACACACACACACACACACACACACACACACACACACACACATACGGTCATTTGAAATAGCAAAAATGAATGTATAAAAGATTTATCAGCTGCAGCGGGAAGCATTTTAACAGGGTTTATTTTATTTAGTTTTGTCTAAAGCTACTATTTGTTCTGCAACTATAAGTAAAGGTTTTGACTGATGCAATGCTGCCCTCATCTGGACAAACTCTGCCACTACATCTGACCCAACAAAAATCAATTCACCTTATTTACATTTATACGGCATGTTCTCTGAGGTACTTAATGTTTGAATTGATCACAGATGACCGCTGGCTCACAAAGACATTACTGGTAAAGATGATAATGTATCAGAAATACAACTGTGAGATTTGTTTTAATTGCGGAGGAAGAGGGTGAAGCTAATTGTACAAGAAAAAATAGAAAAATAGTGTTGGTCCAGGATGTTTTATAAAGAGAAAAAACAATCCATCTGTTCTAGAAAATAGATCACCAGACCAATGAACTGTGCTGTTTTACATAATATTAATTGGTGTGCGTCAGCAAGACTAATAATTATTATTATTATTATTATTATTATGCATCTTTTCCTCACCTGTAACTCAAAATTATGCTGCTAATACCAACTGTGCATTAGCTCGTTGTGAAAACATGCACAGTGAATAATTATTTTTAGTTATATAATGCTTTAAAGGGCCCATTTAATGCTAGGTGGTATGACTTAAATTTGTGTCACTGTATTTTTTTAAGATTCTGGCAGATTCACAGTATTTCACTGTATGTATGTATAAATGAATGGGCCATTATATAGGTTTATAGTGGCTCATTCTACTGTTGGGAGACATTTTAAAGCCTCTATTCAGTCCCATAACAAGTACATTAAAATGTGTTTTCATATGATTATAGTGTTTTATAAAAATACCACTCTGCATGAACACACAGAAGCAAGTTTTGTTCAATGTGTTTCTCTTTTTCTTCCAGTGAGTCCAGAGATCAGTAAGTCTTCAGTGTCTGTAGAAAAGGAGGCCAGGAGGCTCGTTTCTCCTCCAACTCCAGTGCCATCTCAACCTCCTAAATCCCAGTCGCTCCCCTGCCCTGTCCCTCCAAAACCCCAGGTTCCCCCTGTCACTGCGAAACCCCCGCCCCAAAGATCCCTGTCACCCCCCACTCCGGTTCCTGTCCCCCAGAAACCTGTGTCTTGCACAAGCCCCCCTTCTCTCTCCAAAACGGCCACCTCATCCAAGACACCCCAGCCCCAGAGCACAACAGTTACCTCCCCTCCTTTTTCATCGAGAACCGCCCCGGAAAAGTCTGGTTCAAGAGCTCCAGGGCTTTCCGGCCAGAGCCCGTCCTCCCAGCGAGGCCTGCCTACCCCAGCGTTACCCCAGGACGAGCCACCCTGGATGGCCCTGGCCAAGAAGAAGGCCAAAGCCTGGAGCGAGATGCCCCAGATTGTCCAGTGACGGGCGCAGGTTGCAGTGAGGTCTAGTACGTGGGCCCCAGCTGGCTCAGAAAAGATCTGAAAGCGGCTTCATGTGAGCGCCTGAATGGACCACAATGCATTTGCACACAAAGAGTTGCTGTTTTCTCTTGTTTTATTATTTTTTTTACATCCTGGTTTCTGTCCTGGCTCAAGGCTTTGGATTGGTACAAACCCTCCAATCACAGCTAAAGACAGGCTCTTTCTTTAAGTCCTTACGTTGTACATTCATGTTTTCTAAATGACTTAAGTCTCACTTTAAGTGGATCCATTTTCTTTTTTCTTCAACAGTCTTGTGTGTTATAAGGTGCCTGAACGAGAGAAAAAAATACCTGTAGTCTCACAACAGTAAATATTAATTTTTATCTATGATTCCATTTGATTTCACTAAACATTTCAGGGAGGAGAAGAAGGAGACATTATTTTATAAAGATTTATTCACAGAAAGTTGGTTACAAATGAGGATAAAAAGTGTTTGTGTGTGTGTGTGTGTGTGTGTGTGTGTGTGTGTGTGTGTGTTAAAGCTCGCATTTTGAGGAAAGTGGAAAATATTGTGACCATAGAGTAACACAGGATAACATCCAAGTTAAGCTGAAGAAAAATGTGCTGATCCACAACTGCTGTCTGTGTGTCGGGTTCTTTAGACAAATAATATTTCTTGTAACATAATCCGCAGACGTTAAACTAATGATGTGTGTTGTGTTAGAGAGCGCTGAGTGTGTCCAATATGTTCCAGGTTTGTCGATGTAAATTATATTTTTAATTTTTTCTCTTTTTGATATTTTGAACCACAGATTATCTGTCAGCATCCTACAGAAAACCTCCGAATCTATTCAGGAATCAAGGAAATCTATCATCATGTTGACTTTCATGTGTTTTTAATACTTTTCGATGCATCATTATGTTGGCAGCATGTTGCAGATTATGAAACATTTTACATTGTAAATGAAACAGAAATCAATATATTGTTAATTAGCCACTCGGATGTTGGTTTTCTAAAGGAAAGAAAGTGTCACGGCTGAACGTTTTCTTTCTATCAATTAAATCTATCTATCTCACAGTAGCTATATATGTTTTATGCATTTTGTTTTATTTTGTATTGCCTTTTGAAAATTTGTCTTGTACATAAAATGTGCAGTAAAGAACAAAATAAATCTGTTTTTTTTCTGTGTTTTCTTGTTATCTGCCTGTATGTCCACGCTGAGTTTCTGCAGTGGAGTTGTAAAAGAATTACATTTTTATTACAGCATAAAACAACCGAGTGCAGCAATTTGAGTGTGAAAGTTAAAATGTAAAGAACACTCAGATGAAAATGAGAATGATTTTTAATAGAATACATTTTATGGTGATAATATCAGTATGGTCTCCAACAAAGTTATTACTGTTAACTAAAAACTAAAACTAAGTGTGAAAAAACCTTTTAGTGAACTGAAATGTCAAGGTGTTTGTATTGTAATACCTATATTACAGACAAATATCCCCCATATTATAGTAAAAATACAAAAACTAATACTGGAACTATTAAAAACTCAACTAAAAATACACATTTTAAACAATAAAACCTAAAGTAAAACAAGCAAACCCAGTCTGGAAACTAACTCAAAACTAATTGGAATTAAAAACAAAAATTAAAAACAGAATTAAGATTTCAAATCTTGATGCACGATGATGGGAAATTTATATTATGAAATAATATAATTAAATTACAGCTGATAGAGAAAAATGTAATTATTAATTATTAAATAATACATTAATGCTCACTAGATCTTTCTATTGTCTGTAAAAACTACAGGTTATAAACTTATTATTAAAATACAAAAATGTGAAATGATCAGCCATGAGAACCCAGTAATTATTGGCTTCTGTGACTCTGCAACCACAATTAAACACTTGGTAAACATTTTATAAACTGGTTCCAGTGGTTCATGCTAGCATTATATTTAAATTTCATTACTGTTTGGCAAATAAATAAATAAATAAATAAAAGGATTAATTATTTCCCCATCCACAGTTTAATCCCTGGGACTGTAATAAGATATAAGTAAAGATATAGGATTTACAGCACTTTGACTGCATTCCCCTGTACAGTGAGTGCTGGCATTCACGCAGGCCTATGTGACTTCCTCCTCCTGTGCGGCCTGGAGTTTGAGCCAGATGTTTGTGTGCGCTTGTGTGCATCAGTTGTGTGTACAGCATGAGCGAATGTTTGCATGTGAACGATTGATAGCCTGTGTGAGTGTATGCACATACAGGAAGCTGCAATCAGTGAGAGGGCTGCTTTTAACTCCCCAGATGTCTTTTCTGGGTGAGTTAGGTAACACCGCTGCTGCCCTACTTCTGATACATGCACTATTACACACACACACACACACACACACACACACACACACACACACTGGACCAGCCAAGATGTGCGATCTGTGTGTGAGTCCGTGCCAAGTATCCATAGCGATGACTGCTGGGTGCTGACCTTCTCATTTACAGGTTATATAACCAACCAACTTGGCAGGAATCACAAGCACAGAGGTGAGGAGACAAGTAGAGGAGGTGGGGGTATTAATGTCCACTTACAGTGCTAGGATCAGTAAAAGAAACTTTTAAAGACAGACTTGCACAAACAAAACAGCTAATAATGCTGCTGTGCTGCATTTTTAAACTTATTTATTCTAGTATTTATTTATTTTTGTCTTTTTTGTTCGTCCTGATTTCTTTATCACATCTGTTGTCTGAGTTGTTTGTAAGATATTTTGTCAAAGAGAAAGGCCTTGTCTTTACTGCAACCTAACCTGAATATGAGAATAATATTGTTAATGTTACGACAGGGTGTCTTTTAAAAACAATGTAATGCCAAACCACTCATGTGTGCATGGGGCTGCAGTACCCCCTAAGATATGGCATAGAGAAAACCATTAGTTTATTAAAATCTTTAAACTTTTTTAGTGGGATTTACATATACACTTGTATTTATGGCAAAAACAAGTTAGTTTACCACGTTTTTTTAGCCACTAAAAAGTTCAGTTTGTGTAAAATGTTGTTAATATCTATTAAAGGACCCATTTGTAGGATTTAGTGGCATCACATTGCAACATGGTGGCCACGAAACACGTGAAAAACACCCTTATCTAGTGCCAGTGGTTTATTCTTCTGGGCTGTTAGAAACATGGCTGTTCAACATGCCGGACTTTATGGAAGGCGACTCACAGCATCTGTGGATAAAAATGGTTCATTGTAAGATAAAAACACAACAATTAGTATTTCCAGGTGTTTACACACTACTGAAAACATATGTATAAATATTATATTTCAATTCTGCCAATAGATCCTAAATGTTACAAACTGGACCTTTAAATAGGATTTAAACTATCCCGGCCATTCAAATTAATGCAAAAACCATGAATGTCATGCCCATTGTACACATTTATTTTCAGAGGAGTGACCAAAAAAAGATAATTTTGCTGGACCAGTGTCACATATCATTTGGTGAAGTTCAGAGGTTTGTTTTTGTATCATCAGGAAACAACAACAGAACTGCTGAGTGCAAGTTTCTCAGTTTAACCAGATAATACAATATTAATTATGGCAGCACAGTCAGGAAAAAAAATCATATTGTGATTACGATTTTGATGGGAATGGTCATTTTTGCATCACAATTTTTAATTTTCCCTGAAAAAAAAACTGTTAAAAACATGATCATGTGACGTTTGTTGGGCTCTCAATAGAACAAGATGTGCAGGCCAGGACGTCTCTGCAGCTCTTGTGCTGTCAGATTGTTTGCTAAAGCTTCACTGTGTTGTTGTTTTTTGGACATGAGATGATACAACAGCTCTCTGGCAGCAGAGGAAGAGCTGGAGAGGAAGCACAGCAGCAGAAAAGACTCGGCAGGGCTTTGAGGTTTGGTCTGACTGACCCGACCTCGTTGACCTGTGTGTACGAACCCTGTGCCGGGTGAGGTCGGATTCTCACACTGTCATTGTTTCCAGTGACATTATAGCTGACCATTTGATCTCCAGTGTGACAATGAATTCCAATTAACAAGACAGCGACGACACCGGCTTGTTTGAGACTTGCAGGAAAAACTGACCAGTGCAGTCGATGAGGGCATTATCATATTTACAGCTGAAGACAAATTCAATCGTATTCTTCCCCTCAAAAAAGAATTCACATTAACAAGTGTCAGTCAACGCATCCTTGATACAGAACTGGCTGCCAGAGGAGAGACTCTGCTCCCAATGTGAGAGGACGGGTAGAGATACACTTTCCCACCTCATGTCCAAAGTACAAAACTTTAATAGGGAAATATTTCCCAGATATAACCAAAATATATCCTGAATTTGAATCAAAAGCATAATCTCCCCTATTTACTGGGAGAAATCCCCAAATGTGAAATGACTGCAGCAACAACCAGCACAAATAGAGATTAAAATAGAAAATAAATAATGCTCTTTGGCTGTTGTTTGTTTAAAACAACCAATGATTATTTTCATTTTTGATTAAACTGTCAATTATTTTCTCTATTAATTGATTGTTTGGTTCAGAAAATGCCAGAAAATGGTGAAAAATGTTGACCACCGTTTTCCAAAGCACAAGGTGACATTGTCAGAGGTCTTGTTTTGTCCACAACCCAAAGATATTCAGTTTACTGTCATAGAGGACAAACAAAAACACAACTTTTCTTATATTCATATGATTACACACTAATGAAAACATACCTATGATTATTATATACTATTTCTGCCAATAGATCCTCCTAAATGTTACACAATGGACCTTGAAAATCCACGAAGACCGACCAGTACTGAATCATCACGGTGAGTGCTGATTTGCATAAACAGGATAGATCCTAAACACCAATGAGAGCCTTTGATGACGAGTATTTACAGTATGCAATATGCTTGTCTCATTAAAGCCTCTATACCTCTATATTTAGAGGCGCTGGGATTGGCATAAGTAGGCCTTCAACCCTCCAAGAGTCCTTATACAACTGCAGCGAGCTGTTGCTAATCTGCAGTGTAATTATACTGAAGAGCAACAAATAAAAGGTTGAGCCAGGAAGGGAAGAAGACACTGCTCCTCGTCTGCCCTCTATCTCTCCTTCTCTAATACAGTTTGTCTCCTTTCTGTCTCTTTGTAAGTTTTCTAACTGTGACTGAGTGACCTACATTTGCACTGCTTGCATAAAGCGTCTTCCTGTCTGTCCAGCTTCCCCAGTCTGTCTCTGTGTTCATGTGTGTTTCATTCAGCCGCGCATTAACAGTCTGTGTGTTTTTTTCGGTGAGTGCGCAGCTCGAACATATTGGAGACATATGTATGTGTGAAAACAAGCTGTCACTTTCTCCGGCTGTAGTCCCAAAATGTGAAATCTCACTCTCTGCATCCACATGTAAGATTTCCTTCACACATTCTCTCTCGTGCTTGTTTTCTCTCTCTCGAAGTGTCAGTTTTGTTCTCTTCAACGGTCTTTTCTTGGCTTCTCACACTTGTTTATTCTGCCTTGTTTATCCCACCACACACCACCCTCCTCTGTCTCCACTCTGCTTGAATCTGCGTCCATCAGTGGTTTGCAGGCTTTTCCCCAGAGACCTTCTACTTCTGAGGAATGTTTGTCTTGACCCAAATGTTGTTGAAAGGTAACTCCACTAATGTGAGCTGTTAGCTAACTGGTTAATAACAGGATTCACTTATGAAATCCAACGACTCAGATCACGCTGCCAGCATGAACATATGAGCCAGTGTTGCATTTATCTAACTTAACTCAGCTCAACTTGAAATGTTACCCTGCTTCATTCCTCCTCGCCAACTACAGCTACATTTTTAACCCCGTCGGGCCCACTGTCCACATCAGGAGGGCAGTTATACACATTGTGTGCAACTAAAAAGCGTTTTAAATTACAGCAGAGAATCCAAAAATACCACATATGTCAGGCAGAATCTGAGGGGAAATGTGTATAAAAGGATGCACAATGAAGTATTTCTATTTGGAATAAAGAACACGGAGTCTTAGTTTTGAATATAGCTTCAATGAAGAGCTAAAACTGTCTGTGAACTGTGAAATTAATTTACCTTAAAGCTACTTAAGGGGGAAATTACAGCAAAGAATACTGAATGTTAAGAGGTTAAAATCACACAGTAGGTCACGTAAGGTCAGGCCAGCCCACATATCATATCAACACATGTGCACACACACTCTCTCTCTCTCTCACATAAACACATACATGAGAAAGACCTACAAGAGCTAAAGGCACAGTCACACACAGGTGGCAGTGGCTCCTTCACTGACACTAGCTACCTACCAGCTCTTTATCCAGGCTTAGAGCAGCTTTCAGAGCTGACTGACAAAATTTGGTTATTACATTATTATCTGGGATCTTTCTTCTAGGCATCCCAATTTATGTGCAGGTCCTGGCATAGCAAGGAAATTAACTCCAATATTAGATAGTAATTAGATTAGATCAGTATCATTTTTCGGTCATGTGGCCGGACAAAAAAAAGGTTTTCATCATGAAACAGGCTCAATTTTAAAACAGCAATACATAAAATGTTTAGTTTTGTTGGTTTAATAAGTAATACTAATAAGACTAATAAGCAGCTGTGAGCTACAAAGAAAGTCAGTTGTCATTTTGCAGATGCAGGAAAATAATATTAATATTAATTAAAATAATATGTAGTTTCTTTATTACAAAGAGTTAGTTGAGAAGATTGACACCACTCTCATGTCTGTGTATATAATATAAAAGGTTGAACAATTATCTCAGCATAACGACCAGTTTTTGTACAGATTAATCAAATTATGTTTATTGATTGCTTTATTAATATGTTATTTGTGAGCTTTAAAGCTGCCGGTATGTGGATTTTATGCTTATGCTAAGTTAGGTTGATTATAGCTTCGTGCAAACATTAGATTGGTATCAATCTTTGTATCTAACATGTGAAGGTAATCCTTTGTTTTTGTTTCTTTGTGAATCCTTCTGAAACCTTTTTACTGGAGCTATTATGTAGTAATATGGAGATATCTTAACAACAACATGTTGCTGGAAATGCTGACTACCTCCCACATCTCTCAGACTACTGTGCTTTGAAAGAATTGAGATTTCATCAAAGAGTTTGATTCATCCAGTGAATTATTGAACACTAACTCAGTGGTGTAGCCCAGTAATCTGACTCTTTACTTTCTAGAAACTCAGCCAGCCCTGCAGAACACAAACAAAAGAGACGTCAGACTCTTGTCCAGTCCAGCGTGTTCGTGAATCCCATGCAGGATCGAGAACACAAAAGCTTTTGGTTTATTCACAAGCTGTAGACTCAGACTGTACTTTTGCAAATGTAATGCATACTAAAGTTTTTTACTATCAAAAACAGACATGTACAGAAAATATCAGAGAGATGTCGAGACATAACATACATTCATCTTGTGCAAATTCACCCGGACACATTTAGAGGCCATGGAGCTCTACAAGAGATTAACAACCTTAGAAAGAAGCAGGCAATGTAGTCACTGAAGTCAGTGCAAATATTTGAAAACATGAGGAGCGCTTGGCAAAGTAAAGAAGGTTTTTTTTTTTTTAAGTTAGCAAAGCAAGAATGTGATATATTGTCAGTTGTGATTCCTCCAGACCATTGCTGTAAATCAGATGTGTTTTAGTCAACTCACACAAGAGGACAAGTGCTCCTTCAAATAAGTCAAATATTCTGGATCGGTATCAAATACATTACATTACATTAGAAACCTTCGCAGTCGACAAGTGACATAATCTCTCATCTGTGTGAAGTGTTGATGAAGATGATGCAATTTCAACACAAATTTGAAAAAAAAATACAAAAAAGACATTTTGGACCACAGAGGATACACATTATTTGTTTAGACTCTCAAATTACACTTTCAACACAGATTAAACAACGACAGGAAAACGACACAATTAGGAAGCATATTTTTTCCCCCTCTCTCTCTCTCTCTCTCTCTCTCTCTCTCTCGGTGGAAGTGCCAGAGGTAGTTACACTACTCAAAAGGTCAATGATTGAATTCTGAAAGGTCAGGATATCAAATGGGCCATAATCAACCATCATACTGTTTTTGCATAGCTCGTTATTTTGCTGTTGAACAGACCGGAGGCGTTGTAATCACAAGCCATTTCCAAGCAACAAACCCCACAGTGTAGAGGAAGAGGGTCTGTGGGTAACTCTGGGATCCTCTGTTAACCCCTTTAGGTTGGTGTCAGAGCCGGTTTGTCTGCATGATAAAATGTTATCGTGAGTTTGGAGTGCTACAAAAAGTCAAAATGATACCAAACCCATCCTGAAGTTTAAGAATTCAATACTTGACAAATGCCACTGTGTTCATGTCCCTCCTGGGTCACAGTTTATCACCATGCTGTTTCCTAATTAACATCTTCTCTTCTGAAACCATCTCTGTGATAATCCAAGAATGTGGACTCTCATCATAGATTTCAAAAAGCACAGACAATAGTTGTAACTGGAGTTAATTTCTCATTAATATGCGTCGACCGCAGTTGCAGGGGATAAGGCTGAGTTTGCCACAGTGGGAAAAAAGTCCTCGACAATGGCGGAGGTGTTGGTGCATTAATGATTAGTGAATTCATTTGAACCATCTGTTATGTAATCTGGTTCCACTAAAGTTTGACATTTTGGGAAGTGACGTGAGAGCAGGTATTGATCATTTCCTAAAATGTCAAACTGTTGCTTGCAGATACAATAGTCCCTAGAGGTTTTTGATATTTTAGATCTTTTGTTGTTGGTTGACAGTTGTTGAATGTTGTATTGTAAAGTTAAAGTGATAAGCAGAAGAGGTTTTGGACAGAGTATCCAACACTTAAATCCTTATATTTTAATTAATCCTTCCTAAGTCCCGCCCCTATTTGCTCTGTGCTCCAATAACAGTTGAGCAACTTTCGGTCAAATTTCTCCTTTCCTGTACTTAGATATGCCACGTTTAAATCTTAAAAAACATAAAACACGTCTTTTTCAACAAAGCAGAGCCTAGCACGTAGCATATCTGAGCGCAGCTGACCGAGGGCTTGCTCAACTGTTATTGGAGCACAAAGCAAAAGGATCAAGAAATCAAATGCTGTCAGTTAAAAAAATAAAACTTTGGATGTTACTTCAGTGGGATTTGTTTCAAATAATGGGACAAAAACTATGATTATCTTAAGATGTTAATTGGGGAACCCAAGGTTGTCGCACACACCATTACAACAGTTGCCATAGCAGTTTATACATCGAAGTGAAAATGGAAGAAGTCCAACTTAAGGCACTAGAACTGCCGCCACAGATGAACAATAATTCACAGATATCAGTGTTAAGCCAAAATCCATTTTGGTGTCATGCTTTGACTTTTTGGATGAGAACTCTCACAAATGAAAAACCCACTGGCTCCTCGTGTGACGGTATCTACAGAGGCTTTACTGTCACCTCATTCAGCAGGGGGGAGTTACTCACGCTCACAAATTGTAGAAAAAAAGAAATTATAGGAAAAGTATATAAGTGATTTGATTTTAGGTGGATTTTCCCTTTATGTTGTTTAAGGAAATACATTTGCCTCTGAATCTTAAATGTTTAAGAGTGATATGCTTTTATACTGGAGGGGTAATTATATTTGACTAATAGATTTTCCCTTTCCTGTCCCGTTTGAGCCAACTCATCGTGGCTTGTTAGTGGTTACCAGTTACGATATTAGCAAACATTACTGGCAAAGTTATATTACAACATGGTGGAGGGATAGTAAGCAGTTATTTGACTTGTTCATTAGTACAAATTAATATTAAATAACATCTTCAAATTGTGGGTTAAGACTCAAATAATGCATGAAGAGAATATAATTATGGGGGAAAATTAAAAGATTATGGTATTACACTTCATTTTACAACATTACATGGCTTTGGCCCTTTCAATACAAAATAATAAATGTGGATGATTTGACATGACACTCCCAGTACTATTACACATGAAATAAGGAGAGACAAACACATCAGTAAGTGAAGAAAATTATAAAAGACAAAGAACCAGATTGACAAAGAACCATGTAAAATCAAACACGTGTATATAAAATAAAAAGGTTTTGAAGGCAAAGCTCAACAATCTCTTGTAATTTCCAGAGATGAGCTTTTTGCCATGTAAAAATAGTTATGTCACAGACATCAGCAAGGCCTCTATATTGTTCAAACAACATACTTTTTTTCATAAATACGTTTGCAGGACTTCTCAAAATGTTTTATTCCCACTTATACTTATTTCCTTTCTGTGAAAATCACATTTGATGAATGGAAAAATCTCCATAAAAGGGGGAAGAAATGTACTACTGAACATGTAAAATGACTCCACAATATGTTATTCTGTGGATAGAAGGCACTGGCCTTTACTCATAGCATACATCAGTCATTTAAATGGAGATCACTGCAGTAGTGTTGGCCTGCAAATAGGCTTACACACTGTTTTAACTAATTTAACCGCCAGAAGATTTAACTTTATTCTGCGGTGACCACTCTAGCAATAGTGGACGTACATATCCTGAGGCCTGTTTCTTTCCCTTACTTAAAGTGGAAGTGCAAAATAAGTCAGAATAAATACTGAATAAATACACTCAGGACAAATATCAGAAATCCAGATGTTGCTGTCTGTATCACTGACAGGCTGTGAGCGTTACAAGTATCTCAGCTAAAGAGAGGCGGACAGTGAGGGAATCCAAATATGTTTAAATCAACATAGCTCGGATTGTGACAGGCCAATGACAACACTAAATTTGGGTCACCGGCGATCTAAAAATATGTGGTCTGGGAGAGAATCTGCCCTCAACTCCAGTTTCCAGAGTTCGCCCTGTGCAGTTGTCAGTGGCTGCCATGTTGGCTCCAAGCCGTTACCCCTCCCCACCCCTCTCTTGATGGTGCAAATGGTGTTTTTGTGCGCAATCTTAAAACTCTGGGGCTCTTTTTCCCCCCGAGAGAAACGTTGTTGCTGATGTTTGGGGTAAAAAAAAAAAAAATAGCCTTTGGAAAATGAGCACCTCAGCATCTCTTTCTGTGAAATGTAAACAATGTCACTGCATGCATAAATAATAATGACAAAATAAATAATGGAGAAAAAAATCCAACAAGTTTAACAAAAAAAAATTAAAATAAGGATGGATAAAAACACAAGAACAAGAGCCTTAAAGCACACCAATGTAAAGGGTCAGTCCATTGTTATTCAGCTGCAGGATGCCGGGTCAGACAGGGACAGAAATGAAAAGAAGGAAGGAAGGAAGACGGGAATAATAGCTGTCAAATATGATTATAGTAAAGGTGTCAAACTAGTAAACACATAAGTTTATCTGTAAATGTCTAACTTAGTAATGGGCGTTAAATTTACAGAGATTTCAATCATTATAATTAATCATTATCTAATCAGTTATTCTATATAATGAATCACTAAACTGTAGTGAGTGCATTTACACAAAAAAGGTTAATTGGTCAGAATTTATACGCACATTTAAAAGACACACAGTATGGGGACATTGATCGGTTGAATTAATGGAAGATGCCACTCGCAGTAGATTTGTATGATTCTGAACCGGGGGAATTTGCTTTAAAGCTATGTTCAGATAGGCAGCTCAGTCTGAGAAATCCCTCCCATCACACTGCAGTTTGTTTTGTTATTTTTTTTTTCCTTCTTTTTTTTTTTTTTTTGGCATGTCCACACGCAATGTGTATGCAAGAGGAAGAGCGTGGAAAAATGGAGGAGGGGCAGAAAGGAAAAAGTGCAATCTGGAAAAATGAAGACAAAAGGAGCACAGCAGCTTGTTGCTGTACACAGGGAGACAAAAACATACACTTAGCATGTGCGCATTAGCGTTGATACACTGATACATCCAATGTTAAACGGAAGGTGATGATTCAGAGTTCCCTCCTGTCTGAACCTAGCTTCTGCAGGTCTGCACGGTTGTTGTTTTCTGTACGGTGTGAAGAGTTTTATGCATGGAAGATGTCTATTTATTGAGATCTATAGTATCTTTCTTGCTGCTTTTTGTCTGTTGTTGATGTGTAAATGGAGTCCAGCGCTGCTTTCAGAACGGGATAGGGTGCTACAACGTCACTTCTTTGTGCATCAAAAAGGAAAAACAACAGGTCAACTGCTGCTTTTGAGGAGGGTAGTGTGTGCGGGACAGGTAGTTTACTGCATTTTCCAGGTGGGTGCACACACGTTGAGAGCATGTCACCGGTGCCTGCTGTGGGCCATGAAGAGCAGCACCTTGCGGATGCCGCTGAGGCGATCCTTCAGAGAGGTGAGGGCCAGGAACGGCAGCTGGGCTCGGCCTTCTAGCGGAAGAACGGCTAGCAACCACCAACACCACGAGGGACCGTTGGGACTGGTCTGAAGGGAGGAAGAGAAAGGAGGAGACTCAGTGAGAAGGATTTAAATACAATTCTATTCTTAGAAATAACTTTAAAGGAAGCTTTGGGTCTGTGATTATGGGTCATTGAACCTGAAGTAGATCTGAGATTAACTTAAATAATTAGACATTATTTAAAAAATACTCAATCAATCCCTCCAGGAAGTTTGGAGAATAAATAATTAAAGTGTATGACTTTGTAAATGATGTGTTCGTGTGTACCTGAAGTACAGGGTCTTTCCCAGGCATGGGTCCAAAGTGTCCTTCAATGCGATCCTTCTGCTCACTCTTCAGGGAGTTGACCCACACCAGGGCCTGGTCGTACACTGTGTCATGCAAAGACTGCAGCTCCCGCTCTGCCACGCCCTCCACCTGCATACACACACACACACACCCACACTGTTGAGCTATAACATCTCCAGGTAATTCTCCATCCCACCAATCCTGTCTGGCTCACTCTACTCCAGCTACCCCCCCGTCATCCACCCTCACCTTCCACCCACTCTTACCGTAACATCCTCCAGGTACTCTATGTCAGCCGTGTTGTATCCATCCTTCTCCCTGTGCTTAATCACTTTAAACCTCCGTCTGCCGATGGTGTCCACAACCGACCGGCCGTCGGAAAAGAACTTCACATCTTGGATCTCCAACAGGCACCCGTAGTCTGCAAACCTAGAGATCGGAGGAGGAAGAGGAGGAGGAGGAATGTTACATTTCCTTCGTATATTAAACGCATAAGCAAGCACACACAGGTACTATCCTTGTACTGACCCTTTGAGGTCGTCTCCCAGACACATGCCAAAGCAGTTGGTTCCCGTCTCAATGCATCGGCGAATCATCAGTCTGTAGCACGGCTCGAAGATATGGAGAGGACACGGCACAGTGGGGAAGGCCATGGTGCACACAAATATAGGCACATTCTTGTTAAGGCTGGAGAGAGACAAGGAGAAAGGAGAATGTGTTTAACAATCACAGTGTAAGGAAATAACAATATTTTTTGAATTAAGTCCTTAAAATTATAAAAAAAATAAAATAATTCTAGTCAATCAGTTTTGCTCCAGTTTAAGAGACGTAATTTATTGGAGACAAGTTTGTTCCAGACTCAGTGAGGTGATACTTGATGCCTGACGTGACGTAAGCTAAGGGGTCAGTGTGTCAGACCTGTGTTATCTACAGTGGGTCAGTAGGTCAAACAACAGAGGAGGGGATTCACATAGAGTGAGCTATATCCGTCACAAGCGATCAACCACACGCCATAACCTCTAAGAAGACCGGATTTGACAGGATAGGAGAAACCAGACTAAGTAGAGCATAAAGAAGTAATAATAGGACACAGGTGGACACAAACTTACTTGGAGAGCTCAGCCATCTCGTCCTGGTGGATTTTCTGTCTTTCTATGAGCTCAGAGGGAAGATACTTAGATATCAGGTTCTCCATTAATACCGTCTTGCAGTACTGCCTCTGGACCAGGTACTGGAGAGAGATACAGACAGAGACAATATTAGAAATAAGCAGAGGTAACAACGTACAAATACTTTGTTTATTTATTAGTTTATTTTTCTGAGAACTTGTTTATTTTTACACAAATATGTGTACTTTCTACTCCTTACACTCTCAAAACAGGCTCGTAACTTTAGTTTTGAATGCATTTGAGTGTAATTACTGTCTTTCAGGCTGTTGCATATGATGCCTGACAGACGTTACATAAAGAAAACTAGAGGGAGACTCCTATTCCAATCCCTTTTGCAGTTTAGCTTTGCACAGAAACACAGGCTGGTAGAAATGTCTTTCTTTACTCAAGTATAGAAGTTCAATCAGTACTTCCGAGTACCTGTACTTTTACTTCTAAAGAATGTCTGTACTTGTGAAACACAGAGAGACTGAGTTGGGCTCACACTGTTTTCATCCCTGTTAAGGCCTGTTCTATATTTATGCCATAACATCATCTTATCTATCATCTTCCTCATTCTCGGGATGCACCGAATCCTTACTCGCCATCATAATAACCATATTGAGCGATCGGCTTATTGGCCATGGCGTAACCGATCCAAATTAAACTCAGTTTCTGCGTCAGTGCCACTATAAAAGTCAGCATTTCCACTACTATCGGTTACATTCATTACTGTCTTGGCAGGCCACCAGCTCTGTTTTTAGCTCCATAGCAATCCCTGGCATCATGTTACCTTACATAAAGACGACCTCAATGAGGTAAACAGACTTTATATTTGGGAAAAGGTTGGATCAGTGCATCCCCGCTGGACGTCACTGAATGGGGCCTTATGGACTCATGTATCAGGGAGTATTACAGTGCGTACCTCAGAAAGCTCCTCTTTACAGAGCGGACACTTTGGGTTGTGGTCCAAACATCTCTCCAGACACTGAAGACAGAAAGTGTGACCGCACGGCGTCGTCACTGGCTCGTAGAAAAGTCTGGGTGGAGAAACAAAGGGTATTTTTTTGTTTGACCAAAAGCTCAAAGATATTTGTGATATATGACAAAGAAAAGCAGCAAATCCTAACATTTGAAAAGCTGAAATCAGAGAATGTTTAGCATTTGTTACCCTATTATTGTCTGATAAAAGACTACAATTAGTAATTTTAGTTTATTTGACATTTCAAAATATACTGTATGTCAAACACTGTGACAAATACATACATATTAATTGAAAATGCTGAGAATAACACAGGAAAGTTAGAAAAATAACTTATTTCTAGTCACAGATGACTAAGGTATTGTAAACCAACACGAGGCTACATTAAAATACAGAATAACATAATAACAAATCCAAAGTTCAGGTTATCTGCTGGGGTGTTAAAGTCTGCAGTCTACCAGCCACAACAAAGATTCTTTTTTTTTATTCTTACAGGCTGTATTTCTACATATTGATGTCCTAAAAGCAACCGCATATCACCTCATTTTATTACAGGCTGTATAACTGCCACCAGCAATTTAGCGCACGTTACATAACCGTTAATTGATATATTGTACGGTGTATGACTGTTACAATAAAAATTTAGATCAGAATCAAGCTGTAAATGCAAATCTCACCTCATACAAAGAGAACACTCCATATCTGTCGGGTCCAAGGTGTCGCCGACCCCTGTCGCCTCTGCTGCTGGCTCTGAATGGAGAAAATAATCGAAATACAAAATAAGACACGCTGCAAACAGAGAGCGGGTACGCGTGTTGCTCGGCATGTTTTGCGCACAGGCTCCAAAAACTCACCAGACTTGGATTTCTTGTGATCGTCGCTCCTCTCATGACCTCCCTTCTCCGCCTCCCCCTCTGTGCTCCTCCGTTTCCGTTTGAGGAGGGAACAGTGGTCGAGCCTCCTGACCTCAGGATTTCCCTGACCTTTGCCCTCGCTGCACTCTGACTTCTCAGGTGCAGGAAGAGTGAAGGCGAGGCTAAACTCTGGTGGCAGCAAAGTCTGAGAGAAGGAGGATGGAAGGAGAGGATAATGAGACCTCATGTACACCCAGGGTCATGATTTCTTTAACTACGGACTACCACACTGCCCTAAAAACTCCAGAAAAGGGTTTAAAGTTTTCAACTGATTCGGTAAACTGCAGCAGATGGATAGGATGTACTGTGTCTTTTTCTTTTCTTTTTTTATTTAGCTTCTGTCTATATAGTAAAAATAAATGTCTACATTATGTCTACATGATTTTGGTCTTAACCAACTTACCTCGGAGGGAGTGTTAATGCTCCTTTTGATGTGTGCCCTGAAGGACAGTATGTTGGGGTGGTCTGAGATGTGTTCAGGGACCTGATCTGTAACTGGAGTCAGGAGATCACCGAGGAGCTGAGAGGAGACAATAACAATTTAATAAATGTACACAAAGACGCTACATAGCTTTAAGCTGTTATATAAATAATAAGTATAACTTGAAATAAATACATTTTAAAACCATATTCAGTAACTAATGTAGGATTTACCTTGTGAGCCTCAGTCTTGGCCACTCTAGAGTCAGGTTCTACGGACAGACAGACCAGGTACTCTCTCAGAGCTTCCTCCGTCCTGCCCAGCGACACCAGAGCCTGGGCCTTACGGACATGACCCTGCAGGTAGGAGGAAGATATATTAAGTATTTTTACATTTTACTAACTGATTATCACATATATATAATATATATATATATATATATATATATATATATATATCAAAGCCACAGTTTGTCTGCCATACCTTGGACCAGTGAGGCATTAGTCTGCAGGCCATCTCGGCGTCGCTCAGAGCCTTTTCATAGTGTTTCAGACTGGAGTGGATCTGAGAGCGATTACTGAACAGTATGTGGTCCATAGGTGCTGAGGAGGAGAGGAAGGACAGTATAGTTAGGTACTAACAACCACAGTTAGATTATTAGTGTTTTTTCATTATAAACAGTAAAAAGAAAAAGATCATCACAATTCCCAACAGCCTGAAGTGACTTTAAAGTGTCTTCAAGTTGCCTGTTTTTGTCTGAGCAACACAAATATATTCAATTCACAATCATCTAAAACAGTAGAGATGCAATTATTAGACATATATAGACAAAACTAGATGTTTTATATTTTTGTAAGCTGAATATCCTCTAAAAAAAAGCCTCTATTATACTTCACATTTTTTTGCTGCCATTTTATAGCCCAAACAATGAATTAATCAAGTGAATAAACTGGTAGATTACCTGATAAGGAAATTAATCGTTAGTTACAGGTCTAAGTGGAACAGAATATGAAAGGAAAGGCCGCAAAAAAATGATTCTTTTTAATTCATATTTAAACTATTAATATGTTTTAATTAATATGTGAAAAATGTCCCAAAGTTCAGGAAGACATTTTCAAACTGTCTAAAACCAAAACATATTAAATCTACAATGATCTAAAAAAAAAAAAAAAAAAGACTAACAGTAAATTTATTATCAATAATTAAATACTCTTTTGATCAGCTAATCAATTATTGGACCAGCAGTTTTCCTCCAGCTTTTAAAACCTTTAAATGCTCAGTATGATTAATGACCCCTACACGGAGGCAACTGTTTCACAACATACTGCAGAAGAGAAGAAATTCACAACCACCACTTGTTTATTTTCTTAAAAACCTGAATTCACTGACGACGTCAAGTTTATAGTTACACGAAAGAAGGAAATGTTTTAAATGCATCAGTTTCCACATTACAAAAAAACATCAGGAAAAAAAAAAAGAAAAAGTGCTGTCTTACAAAACCATGCAGCACTATCAAGGTCACCCACATTCCAGGTTTCATAACTATAAAAACTTATGCAAATGTTGCGGTAGCCCGATGAGAGTCGGAGGGAACTACTTCACTGGATCTCTTTCCCACACGGGAAGTAAATAAACAAATCAATAAAAATTGAAATGCAGGTATAGGAGACGCCACGAGCGGGCGGTGTTATTTTACATGGCAATTTTAAAAGGTTATACAGAAGCGTGGTAGCAGAGTATTTACTGCACAGTGCTTACTTCCAACAAAGCTGCTTTGTTACACACACACACACACACACACACACACACACACACACACACACACACACACAGCCAAGTACAAACATCATGCAGGCCACTTGACCTTGTTTAAGAGCGTAGATTGCACTACCCCACCCTATTTTCTTTTTGCTTTGTTGAGCTCACAAACTAATTTGCCCTTATTTAACAACCCAAAAACATGAGTCAGAATGATGCAGTTAATGAGGCAGCTTTACTCCTCCACTAGGATCAACATCCGCTGCAGGCCAGTTCTGCAAGTCACTGCTGGTACATCCAAAATAAGGAAGGATGTGTCATTCTTTTGTCGGGTCATTATTTATTTAAAAAATAAAAAAACACCTTTGCCAGTCATGCAGAATCACTCTGAATAACACAGAGGTGTACAATGAGACCTGGAAACAGCCCAGGACTTTCCCCATTCTTATTACTGTGGGAGCTCACCCTGCTCAACAACAGCCATTTGTAGGTGTCTGAGCAGCTCCACTGCAGCAGCTGGCAGATATATAAACGCTCTACTGGTGGTGGTGGTGGTGGGGGGGACCCAGTGTACAGCAATGTGTTTCCTTTAAGGTAGGGTCGTGATCGGCTGGGGGAAATCGTGGTTTACTTTAACTCTCACCAAAGCAAGTAACTTTTAAAACTTACACAACGAGCCTGCAGAGCAAAATTAGGTCAGGTCAAGTATTCCTGGCATAGAAGACTACACCGATCATAGAGAACAACATAAAGTGTATGTATATGCAGGGGAAGTCTTCATAAGCAACATAAGATGTTATTTCACCACCAATAATCCCTGTCTGGAGGTTACAGATCTCCTCCCCCCCCCCCAATCACACCACCACTGCCTCTGTAACACCTCTGGTATCTGCTGGGAGCGTTAGTGTCTCTAGTGGTGACCTGCAATAATACCCTTGACCCACATTTGCCTGAATCATTGTCTGACGTTACACAATGAGGGAGCTGGAGGGAGGCGGGTTACGTGCTTACGCAATGTTTGGTCCACTAGCCCAGCCTACATAACGCTGTTATCCAACACATGGTGATAGGAGCGTCAAATGCCATCAGAGAGAGAGAGGGGCCGCGAGCCACTGCAACACACTTATGAAACTAAGTCATATAACAGTTTCTATTGTCAGCTTGATGTGCCATTATGTGATAAAAAACAACATAAAGCATGATGTTAAAGTAGAAATATGACACACACACACACACACATTGGTTTTTAATGTTTAACAGTGAGCAGAAGCAATAATAAAATAAACCTACCTATCAGTATGGCTTGGTTGTATTTCTCCAGAGCTTCTTCCATCTTCCTCTCGGCATACAGTACGTTGCCCTCCCGCCTCAGCTGGCCGGCCTGGTGCGAGGTCGGGAACCACTTGGCCAGCAGGTTGCTGAGGACCACATTGACCCTGTAGCTCTGGACGTCGGCCACCCTGGAGCTGTCCTTGCACTCCTTACACATCACCGGTCGCTCCTTCTCCTTCCTCTCCCTCTCCAGACACTTCTTGCAGAAGCAGTGTCCGCACGGCAGAGTCACCGGCTCGAACAGAAAGCTCAGGCATATCCGGCAGGTGAAGTCTTCGTACCCGCAACCTGTGGCACCGACTCCCGGGCATCCAGCCGCCGCCGCCACCGCCGCCGCCGCCCCTGCCTCCTCTCCTTTCCTCGGGCTCCTGTTGTGGCTCTCACCCCCGTCCTGCCTCCGGATGCTCCCGGACAGGTAGTCCACAAGGTTGGCCAAGTGGACAGGTCTGAGTCTCTCTATCTCCGAGGCTTGTCGGTACACATCGAAAGCTTCGGTGAATTTGCCCCCGAAGGCGAGCGCGTCAGCCCGCTTGACCATCAGCTCCTGCCGGCTCCCTGGATCTCCAAGACCCGCTAGCTGGCACTCGTAGATATCCGCCGCCAGCTCGAAGTTTTTAGACTGGAAAGCCTCCGCTGCAAGCTCCAGCATACTCTCACTCTCTGTCCCCATATCCCGCAGGTTGTCTGAAAGGCTATCACCTCACCTATGTGGTGCATACCTGGTGTCCGCTGCCCTCCATGTGTGCGTCCTCCGCTGGTGAGCTCCGACTACACTGCACGCTCATATTCAAGTCCAGGAAGTACCGATATTATTCTCAATGGAGCAGCGGAGAAAAAAAAAAAAAAAAAAGTGTTATGTAAAAGTTGTGTCATGTGACGCCGGACAGCTGTTCTCATTGGACGAGTTTAGAAAAACTGTTACAAAACAATCTGCCATGTAACAGTTACAGTGTCGGGGCGAAGGGGCCGGGAGTCTGTCTGACCTGCATCCAGGATTCTAGTGAACAGTGGCGGGTCAGTGTGGGAGTCCAGGTGGGGTCGGTGGGTCGGTGGGTGTGGACCATATCAGGGGTCAATGATTATAAATGATACATTTTATTAGTATCACATTTAAAGAAGTTATATCAAAGTAATATATGTTTATTAATTTAGTCTTTACTGCAAAATACAATGGGAATTTTTCTATTATTATTTTTATTATTATTATTTTTTTTAATAATTTTTTTTATTGCAGTTATAGAGATATTTTTCACAGCAGCCATTTTGGCATTAAATAGTAGGATGAACACAGTTGTTCTAAAGGGTAACTTTATTCCATTAAATAAAATAATTAATCAGATTACAGTTACATTAAAAAAAAAAAAAAAAAAAAATAGGGATTATTTATCAAGATTACAACTTTAAAATACATAAATTTTTTTAAATTTTTTTTTTTTAAATACACTAAGCAGACAAAATCTTTCAATTTCCCATTTTTTCCATTTTATTTTCTAAGGTCACATTGTTCTGTTATCTAATAGAATACAACTACATCGATACTTCTTACTGATATTTATTTTCTCTTGTCTTTATTTGCATATTTGATGTTGAAGTAATTCCAAAAGTAACAATAAAGTAATCAAGTTACGTTACTTTAATATTGTGATACCTGGATTAGGTTACTATTTTTCTAACAAGTAATTAGTAACTGTATCAGAATACATTTTTAAAGTCCCAAACTTGGATATTAATTATAATTTATTATAGGTTCATTTCCTTTTAGGTAAAATATGGGGGCTGCTATTTATGAAAGTTGGCTCACGCTACATTAAATGGACTGCAACCTTAATTAGTATCATTGTTTACTATTTAAAGTCAAAATGGCTGCTGTTCATAAGTTTCACACTGTTAATCTGCCAATCTATAATATAAACGGCATCCCTCATCAACAGAGGAGGCAGACCTATAAATAAGTCATATGTCTAATTTAGGAAACCTGATTAAAAAAACCCACAATGGACACAATAAAGAACCCGTCAGCACCATTAACATCAGTAAGATAAGAACTGTTCAGACTGTTTACAGGAGTATTTTAAGGCAGTAAAGAAGTTATTGTGCCAACCCCAGTTGGGTACAGATGCAGACTCAACAGCAGTTGTTTCAGATATGTACCAGTAAGACGGTATATTCATATCATACAGGGAATTAATACCGGTAGTTAATCCGGTACATCGCCCAGCACTACCCCATATGGAAATCTGCAAGCTCCTAAAGCATGTAACATTTCGACCTGCAGGGTTTTTCATCAGGACAAATATTGAAAGGCAGTCCCACAGATTGACGAACCGACACCCTCGATGATCAAACTGCATTAATCAGTAACTGTAGAGCAAATGTTCAAGTGTTTTAATGCGCTTGTTTTGGCACAGAATTTAATGTGTTATCGGTTCAGTTATAAAACTGATCTGGGGCAGCTGGTCAAAACATTTTGTGGCATAATAATTTGGGTGTGGGCTTTTAGAGGCCTCGTTCATATAATTATACAAGAAACATAGCAAATACGTGACCCTATTATGAAATGCTAATGTAACCTGTTATGTGACTTGTAAAGCAGTTATGTGACGGTCACAAAACTGCTTTACATAAGAAAATCAGCATGAACTCATTACATCTTATATGGATCGAGCACCTCTCTTTAGAAAGGCACCACGAAACGTTGCAGCAGTTATAATGTAAGCTCCGGACCACCCTCGGATGAATGCGAGAATGTGAATGCTTTTGCTCATGGGAAAACCTTCTGGATGCAACACCGCTCACTTTCACACTGACAGCTTCACAGAATAAGAATATATATATAATATATTGCTGTTAATTCTGGGAAGTAAACCAACGCCTCCACCCACTAGACTACTTCAGCGAGGCAGGTGCAGGGCAGGTAAACACGATCAGCTCTTACACAACCTGTAATGTAATGTAATGTAATGTCTGGAAAGAGATCATTTTAATCACATATACCAACGCAGGAGGATGTCAACCCCCTTGTTGCTGCCCCTCAGATCTCTTTCCTGGGCGTCAGACAAGGCAACAAAGCCTGGCCAGATGTGAACTTATCAAAGTGTGACAGTGACACAGGGCCCACAGTGTGTTTGATAACTGTGACAGGCAGCAGTTGCTCACCAGAGCTTTGAGGTTTAACCAGTCATTGTTGTATAAAAGTGTTTGCATAATGACAATGAATCATACTGAGGGAAACACAATGATAGTTTTGATAAAGTGAGATTGTATCTGCATAATATGCACCTACAAAGTTAGCACTGATAATACAACATCCCCAGTAATGACTATTTTAATGGTTGTGATATTGTCTTATACTGTATGTGTGAATATATAAGACACAGCGTTATGCCACTGAATCCCGGATCTTTAAGGAAGACTATGCAACTTTTAAAGGATGAATGACACATTCGTCGTCTTGCAAATGAAAAGAATTCATAAGCTGTAAAACACACCCTTTCACAGTACAGTACACACAGTGCTACAGACTTACTTGGTCTGGTATGTACTTGTAGTACTATTACGGTACATTTGAGCATTTTCCTATTACTGTTCTTTAGGCTCGCTATAAGGCCACAAGTAGCAGAAGAAGTAGGTTACGGTCAGAGTTTAATGACTGGTTAAGGGATTGGATAAAATAGCCCTTATACTACACGGTATTATTAGCATTACCCAAAGTAGTATTTCCTGCAGCCTCAAAATAAAACCTGTCTGCTGAAGGGGTTTGCTGTGTGTGCGCGTGGAGATTAGTGAGTCGATCAGTGTCCATGTAGTAGTGGTGCTGCTGGTAATATAGGTCGGCCGGTCTAGCCTGTGAACTCAATCCCACACACAGACTAAAACTCTGGGTGACATACAGTAAACGCTGCAGCAGACACAGACAGACTGACACACATGTAGGAACAGACAGACTGACATATATGCAAATGAGGGCACTCGCAAGCACGTTACGCAAGCACACAGACACACGCTGATTACACACACAAACATACACACACACACAGATAGTACACAATAGTCAGAGATCCTTGTGTCCCTTCATACCTTCAAAATTTGTTATGCGTATCTAAATAGGCCACCAATGCAGTCTAGCCAGATCTTCTAGCACAGGCTGTCTGGACATTGTATACTGGGTTTGGATCCAGCAGTTGTCCTCAAAGTCACCTCACAGACTATACAAGGTCTTATTTGGCTGGAAAGAAAGATGGATATTCATGTATCCGATAACAAGCCCGCGCTTGTGCTTGTCTGAGACGCCGGCGGTGTCTCATTTCACTGTGAAAACCTCATATTTGAGGGCATTGCCCCAAAAGAATGCATAAACAAACAAGAATGAAAGGCATGAAAGAATCAAACATGTGACAAAGGTCTTAAATTAGATTTGAAACTTGAATTCTGAGTTTGAGGCTACTGTGTGTGCCGAAGACTTGTATGACATTTTTTCTTATGGTTGTCTAAACAAGTAAAATCTGATTTATCTTGGTCTCTCTTTGTGGTCGAGCTAAACAGGATTAGATCTGTTACTTATTAGAATAAAGAGCAGATGTTTTGTGTAAAAAGTAGCCTTTTATTTGTATTGAAATCCCATTAGATGGTAATTATTGAAGGTTGGAGGCTGATAGTAAGGGCTTATTAGAGTGATGAATTATGTTACCATTAAAGATCAAAGTTTTGGCAGCTTTCACAGCTATATAAAGTCAATTACTGTGTTTTCTCTTAAGGGTTTAACCAAATCAGTTACGGATTTGAAAGGCTAATAAAATAGTGATTGATCATTAAATGACTTGTGTGCATCTCATACTTAATTTTCTAGGTTTTTTATTACTTAACACAGCACAATATTTTTGTTTCAGAGTTTTCTCTCTGAGTTGAGCCCCTAAATAAGCATTCAAACTCTGAGGAAACTCAAGTCCCATAATTCATGGGGTGTGGTCTCATTAAATGGACATCAGTGGTCTTATAAATATCAATAAAATAGGCTTCCTAATATTAAATAGAATGAAGCAGAACCATGAACATCATAACAAGACATGTTTCCAAAATCTGTCCCTCATTTATTTCTCCCCACACTCAGTAGTTTACTCAAGAGTGAGCAATCAATTGAGAACTTGGGACAGTCAAATAAAACGGGGGGCAGTAAATAGTTAACTTTTTAGTGAGTAGGGAGGGATTTAGGACAAAGCCTGTAAAACCATATCCATGATGCTAACATGCTGATGCTGAGCAGGCATAATATTTATCATGATCACTGTCTAAGTGTAGCATCTGCTAACATTTACTAATTGCTTGTAATGACAGCTGAGGCTGATGGGAATGTCACTAGTTTTGCAGATATTTGATGATCAACCAAATTAGTGGACAAATTCAAATTTCTACCCAATGATCGCACTAAATGAAAAGTCAAATCTATTACTATTCATCCAGAAGGGAACATGAATATGTGTAACCAAATTTCATGGAAAACCACACAATAGGTTTTGAGACATTTCACCCCAAACCACAAATGTCAACCTCATGGTGGTACTTGAGGAACATTTCAGGGATCACCAAAACCATTAGGATTCACCCTCTGGGGGTCATGAATGTCTGCACAGTTTCACGGCAATCCATCCAAACGTTGTTGAAATATTTTACTGTGGACCAAAGTGGTGGATTGACCAGCAGATCTGCATTGCCATCCATAGATTCATCCTGCTGATAGTTGACAAACCATATGTTCAACTGTTTAGTCTATATATATATATATATTAAGAAAAGTGAATTTTAAATGGGGGATTT